TTTATAAAAGGAAATTTCTCGTACTTATGAACGAATAATTGTGAACTTTTACGATTCGAATCTGAATTGTTAATTATTCTAATATAAATTGATTTTGCAAATTGTTGTCACTTATAATATTAAAGTAGCAGCTTTGTTAAAATAAAATTAAATTATTTGCTACACAACAAAAAAAGAAAAATTTACATTTTTTTTTCCAATTTCTTCGTAAAAATTTATTTTTTATTCAGAAATTTTTTAAATCATTTTCCTTCTTTCGACAATGTTTTAACTTGTTATTTTTCTAGTTTACGTAATACTGTTTTATGAATTTGTATACATAATGTGTTATGAACTAGTTCAATTTTTGAAAGGAAACAGGAAATTGCAAACAAAATCCCGGTTTAAAAACAAATTCAAATTATGCTTTGTATTTGTTTTGTTAATAGAAAAGGAATGTTTCACAAATCAAGAAATAGAGAAGAAAGACTTAAATTACTCGTAATACGGATGACTCAAATATTATTTAATAAATTCACGCTTAATATGAAAACTATTTTCGAAAACATAAAGTTTCTAATTCAAATAATTTTTCAACGACGTACCAAGAAGAAAACTATTTTTTTTTAGTGAAAAGCACTAAATTCGCAAAGGTATTTAGTATGTATTACATTACCTACTGGTATTACATTAAAACGATTTCTTACTGAATTTTTGCAAAGCATTTTAAAATTTTCGAAAGCATTTAAATAAGAAAAATTATTTAAAATATATCAATAATTTAATAAAGATAGAGTGTGTAGGTAATCTAATCTCAAAATTTAAATTATTAATTTTCACATACATATTAATATTATTTATAACATTCAATGTTACAAAAATTTTTGTTTACAAAGAATTTTATTTTCATATATGTACATACAAATGTATATTTCTTCGGATACAAGTCTTGTTAATTACACATGGCTTTTCTCAAATTTTTATTTTTTAAGATTAAAAAATTTTTCAATTTTTCAAATCTTATTAAAAAAATATTAAATAGTTTGAAAATATAGAGAAAAGATATAAACTATATAACGTTATCAAAAATTTGTATTTATGCTACATATTGTATGCAAAGTAAAAAGTGAATGCAAAGTGAGTTTTGAACAGAGCTGTTTAGTCTTTGCTTATTTGCAAATTGAACAGATATACTAACCAACACCTGCAGTCCGTAGCTTCAATTTTATAAACATAAATATAAATAAAAGGTGTAATCGATAATGTCAAATGCCGGTCATTTGACATTATCGATTACACGACATTTGCAACCGGTTGACAACTACTTGCAAGAAAATATTTTTAATTTGAATTTTACTAGAACTATGTTCCATTAAATAAAATTATTTATCCCCTTCAAAATTTTCCATTTTGACAAAAATGACAAAAATTTTTATTTATCTAAAAAAGTTGTAAAAGTCCTAAATTATTGGAAACATTTTTATTACGTTTTATAAAATAAGGTTTTGTACTTAGTACATTTTACACCTGTTCTAATTTAGCCTCTTCCACGTCGTAATCGAATTTTCAACTTAATCTATCAAAAGATATTTGCTTTTATATTATATTCTGCTTTACAAGTGATCTTGAATATTTTTGAAAATCGGACTTAAACTTAAAATTTAAACATTCACATTAATTTGAATATTCACAGTCATAAAATCCAGTTAATCAAATTAATTTTTAGCGTAGAATCATACATGATTCATTGTCTAAAGTTCATTAACAATTAAGAAGTTTTAATTATATAAACAGTATAACTATAATAATATAATAATAATATTGTACAAATTATTTATGGTAATGATTTAATTTTTAAATAGAAAAATTATAATAATTATATAATTGATTTACATTTAATTTCAGGTGAATTTTTGAATCTTCCAAAATTAGAATAATTTTCAGGGAAAAATTTTTAGTTACAAATTGCCAAAATTTTGAAATTACTCACAAATTTTCAAATCTATAAAAGCAGGTTTCACTCTTTTGAAGATATTTTTAGAATAATGTTTTTATTAAAATCATAAATGGAGAAATTTATAAAAAAAAATGTAAACATTTAAAGAGAACCAAAATTTATTATGAAAATTAAATCATTTTCATTAATAATTTAAATTTATTTTAATTCTTCTTTTGATTTCTTTTTTAATTATGAAAAAATTAATTAATAAAAAAGAAGAAGGAACGAAATTTAATTTAATTTTATCGAAATTTTCAGGAATTGAAATTTTGTCTGTGACGTATGATGATGCAGCAATTTTTCGTATAAGAATAAATTTTTCGTATAAGTAGTAATTTAACGAAAATTAAAATAAAATTTGAATTAAATTCCAATATTTTTAGCTAATACTATAATATAAATATACATATTATGTATGAATTGTATTTTGCTTTATCAGATTATTAAAATTTATATTTTTCAAAAAAAAAACCAATAATTATCTTATTGTAAAATTATAAACATTTTAAAAATTTATAAACAATTTCTATAAGTGTTTCTTATTTGGTTTTTTTTTAGCAAAATGAAAATTTTAAATTTTCATTGTGTTACCCAGTAGAATGAATGACCTACCACGATTTTCAATTGAAAAGTTCACTATAATTATAAAAGTGTATATAAATTTATAATAATTATTTTGTTTTATTAAGAACAAATCTTCTCACCTTTGAACACTAAACATAATAAAAATTTGAAATAAACAAAAATTTTTGAAAATTCTAGAAATATTTTGGAAAAGAAAAGGAACAACAATTAAAACAGGTAGAATTATTGGAATAAACAAAAAAAAATATCACGATAAATAAACATAAAAAATGAAAACAGGTGAACAGATTTTAAGTTTTTAAGATTCTAAATGTTTTTTTTTTTTTTTTTTGTAAAAAAATTGCTCTAAATTACGCATCCGCTCTGTTTAATTATTAGATGTTTGGTGTCCGAAGCAAGTTTTTAAAAATTGATTAATTGGCGTTCTTTTAGTAAATCAAAAGATTAGAACTTTATTTTATAAATTAAAATTTTAAATAGTTATCAATAGCTGAATATTTTCTAATAAGTACTTACTGAAATATTGGGGCTTATTGTAAGTATCAAATCACTAAGTAATATTGATAAGTAATTTTCGTAAAAAGTTTGATATTAATATTGTGAACAGAAACCAATTCATACAACCAATTCATAAAATATCACTATCACTTAGTGATTCTTTACTCAGAATTAGGCCGTTGTCTATATTTCAAATTATTTGAGATTAAAAGCAAATCTTTTTGTTTCTTTTTACAAATAATAGTTTGACGTTTTTTTAAATTTCATTGCTATGCATTTGTACATAATTATATAACATAAACATATTACATTTATTAAGATTTAAATTGTTAATATGTAATAAATTTCGAAGAATTATTATTATTTTCAATATTAATATTTTGTAGAATATTATTGTAATATTATAACAAAGCTAATTAGTAATTAATTATAAATTTCAAATGAAATTCTTTTGATATTTAGGTCGCACATAATTTTTACATATAGTTTATAAAAGTTATTTGATGGACGTAAAATATTAAGATTAATTAAAAAAAAATCATTACAAACAGAAATTGTAACTAGTTGTGTTCAACCATTATTCATTTTCAAATATAATTTGTAATTTTATATTGTTTTTGACAAAATATATGTCACAAAATTTGCAAGAAAAAGAAACGTTTTTCTTATTTCCTCCAAAAAGCCATTGTACCTTAACTATGTATTTAGCGAGATTTTGGAATTTTATAGTTTACTATAACGCAAAAATATGTCGCGTGTCTAAAACAATTATTAATCATTTCGATTTGTTAAGAAAAGAAAACTCAAAATAAAAGTATATTAACAGCAAAGGATTTTTAGTTTTTCAATATACGAGTATAAGAAATTGTGAAATTTCTTTTAAAAAAAGATCTTAACATTTGCTAAAAAATCATCTGTATGTGCTATGGTGTCTAAATATCTAAAATAAATATATTGATAAGTAAATAATTTCAAATTATAGAATGAACTTTATCATGGTTAACACCAATAACATGATAAGAATATCATAATTGCATTAGAAACAACATATAATATTGTGTCCCTCACGTATGGCTTCAAATAAGCAACGAGATTTACGTAATGGTCTTTTAAATATAAACTGCTATTAATTGAATTTCTATAACATAATGATAGTCTTAAAGCAATAACATGTGATGATTATATAGATTATAGGCACGAAAATACATAATGAACTAAAAAAAATTCATAACTATATAAAGGTTTGTTTGTTCCAACAAGAATTTTAATAATTTTAATTATTATACTCGTATTAGTAGATATTCGTAAGTACCTATACATTTTTCAAATAATTTTATTGTCTTCAATTTTGCACGATCAAACGAGGATAAAATTTTATAAACCGATATTACTTAAATATTAATTTGAAAAATTTAAAAAAAAATATTAAAAAAATTAAAAAAAAAAGTAGGGAAAACAAACGAAATTGCTTGCAAAATGCTTCCGCAAAAATTTTTTTAACTTCCCATTTCAAAAATATAAAATACACATTACACATGAACCTCATATAATTCCATATCTTGTGTACATAACATTTTTATATTTTATTATAAATTTGTGCATATATAAGTACATATAAAATATACTTATGAATTTTCATTTTTTTGATTACTTTTATCATGAACCTGAATTTAAAAAAGCATAAAAATGAAAAAATAAAAATATGTGAAGCGCAAATGATAATAAAAAAAAAATCTCTTTCTTCAAATTGCAAACTAAAACTACGTCGTCTACGTTGTAGCAAATTTTTATTAGTTTTGCTTATATTGAAAATATTTTATTATGGTTCAATTCATTTTCGTTCCTTCTCTTTCATAATATTATATAAAAAGAAAATTTAATATTATATAAACGATGTTTATTATTTTTTAATTTATTTTGTTTTTAAATTAAAACTTACCTAAAATATATTTACAACCAAGTTTATGTAAACTACAAAATTGATAATAACAATATAAGACGGCTGAACATCTTACAATTGTCATTAATATAACATCAGCAGCATTATATTCAGCTTCAAGTCCTTCACATGATTCTCTCCAACCTTGGCATGGTCGATGACGTGATAAATATGCTGTTGATGAAGTTGTTGTTGTTGTACTATCACTACTACTACTAATACTATTTCTGTCAACTGATATAATACATGCTGTTACAGTTAATAAAGCGACAATTACTTCCCAAGGATGTGATGCGCAAAATTCACCATGAGCATGAAATAATTTACCAATCATTTTGCAGTAATTTTAAATTTATTCTAAATGTTGATTTACTTATTTACAAAATAATTTTTAAAAAAGTATTAAATATATTATAGGTTGTTTTTTTTTGTTTTCAAATTGAGTTTCGCTTTGAAAAAATAAATTTACTTTTTCTTTTTCGTTTCTTTGAAATATATTGTATCTGTAAATTGAGAAAAAAATTTAAATTAATTTTAAGATATAATATAAACAAATATGTAGGTAAGTATTTGAAACCTATTTAATTATTATTAAGAATATGTACATAGCTACATTTGCCGATTAACACAAATATTACTGTATTTTAGATAAAACAAAAATCAATATTATACAAATAATTTGGAAATATTAGATAATAAAAATAAAAAAATAGAAATAAGATCATGTTATATAAAGGTGAGTTTGTTAATAGGTTGAGCCTCAAATAGATTTTGAGATCGACATTTTTAACAAGATGTAAATTTTATTCAATTTCAATGTACATATAACTATTTAGTACAAGTATACAGAGAAGCCCAATTAGTAAAACTAAAGTGATGTCATTCTTAACTTATTTTGATTTTAGAAATTTTGCAATTGCAGATCTTACAATGTCAAACAAAAATATTGCTAATTATTATCACAAATATTTGAATTCAAATGAAAATTAATAACCTTAACAAAATGAATATAAAAAATATTACAAAATATTGTAAGAATAGCCACATGTTTATTACAATAAAAATATGAGTAGAAAGAACTTTAAATTTAAGAGATTGGTATTAAAAATCTGATGTGGTGGTTCCCTTCAGAATCTACACATATTGCAAATTTTTGACAAACATACCGATATAACGACGCACTGCCCGAAAATGTACAAACAAAATAAATTTTAAATATACATTTTTTTCGGTTTTTATAGGAAAATAATAATTGATAAATTCAATTAAATATAAAATCATACATAGACATAATTTTTGAGGCTATTGGCTTATAGTTATTAAGCCAAGACTTAAATTTTTAACAATAAGTTTCTGATAACGGAAAAATATCTGAACGTGTAACGTACGAGTACTAGATAAAAATTTCGATGTGTAATAAAATATTGTAAAATAATTTTTCTACCACGGTACCTGTCTATTTAATTATCTTTGGGAATTTAAAAGGATAATAATTTTAGTACATAAAGGATAATTATTTATAAAACGTTTGAAAGAGGTTTACCTACAGCTATAAATATTTATGTCGTTACTTCAAGATTTCTTTTCTTTTTTATTCAAACTGTTTATTTTTAAAAACGCTTAACTAAAAACATGTATACAGGAAGCTCAACTTTATTTCCACATTTATTAAGCGATGAATGAAACGAAAAAAAAATACAAAAAGAATTTACCTCTACCTGTAAATATTTACAATTAAAAAGAAAGTGTTTGAAACGCATTTTAATCGTAGTACTCGTATATAGAGCATAAGTTAACTTCTGTATCTCAAATCTCCCTTCCTCTTATTTACTGGAAAACTTGTAAAGTTATGTATATTTTGATTTACTCTTACAAGTTACTAGGTACAATAAAATGAAAAGTGCGCAACTTAAAAGTTAAACAGTTATTATAATATCTACATAATATGGTACCTATTTACACACATGTATATATAAAATTTCTGTTTTTTTTTTTCGGCAACGTGATTTTTTGTTTTGTTTAGATCATTTATGTACAAAACGCAATAGTAACAATTGTATACCAAAACGAATGATCAATAATTCATGAAAAAGTAAATGTATTTATTTGTCGTGGACAACGACAAAATAGGTATACTTATATAAAAATACACAATCCTAACTGGAAGCATAACTTATTCATTCAAATTATTATTATTATTATGAAGGAGAAAGTTTTTAAGTTCTGTTATCATTATAAAATATATAAATATGGTGCATGTGTATGCCAGCAAACGAATCAATATGAATGAATGACTTTTGCTGAAAAACCAGATAAAATACACGTACATGCATTATGAAATTACACAAACAATAACAACAGAGAAAAAGATGTTGGTAGTAGGTATTCGCACTAAAAATTAAGAAAATAAACATCGTGTTAAAATATATAGGATAGTTAAAAAATATAGTTTTTAACTATCCTAAATATAGTTTTTAACTATCCTAAGTTTAAGTTTGTGCACATACATATGTACACATATTTCATACTTTTTATTATTTAATCTATGTTTTGACTTTAAATTTGTGGGTTTTCTGCACCAATACTTACTTTATGATTATAGGAAATGATCGAGTATAATATATTTCATATTTTTACATAAAATATTTAAAAATAATTTTTACACGTTTAATTCCAGAAAATTTTCATATGCAAAATGAACAAAATCGTTTATGACATAATTTTGCAAGATAAAATAAAAAAACACTCACTTCTTTTTCTTAAATTTGACAATTGTTATCAACATAAAGTTTCTTTTTATTTATATAAGAACTAAGATTTATATTATTTTTTTTGTGCTAATATATTTATTAATTCTATTTTTTTCTACCCGTACCGACACATTTCTATTTATTTCAATCCAAACAATACAATTCGAAAGATGAAAATGTACTAAAATTTATATTATTGACGTTTCCATATTTATCAAATTTAAAATGCCAAATAATTTTAAATTTTGTTATTGCCAGATGCAAAGTATTTTAAAACAATATTATCAGTGCTACAACTTTCGTCATTAGAAATTGCAGTAGAAAACATGTTGATTTTTTTTCCCTTACATAATTTTATTTTTAAATAAAAAATCAAATTTAATTTTAATTTAACCAATCAAATTTAATTGAAATAATTTTTATTCTGTAATACAACATCTTTTAAATTAAGAAAATTATAGTTACAACAAGTTAATAAATAATTAAAATAAAATAAAGGACATAAACTAAATAAAATTAAGGTTTAGATATTTTGGTAAGGCGTATCAGTTTAGATACGTTTTCCTCGCTCTCGGTTGCAATGGCAAAAGTCATGTCGACAGTAACGTAACGCAAAATTTGGTTCATAACATTGCTTAAAGTGCGCTTTTTGCAAATGATAGAAATATATTTTTTTGATATCGATTATATATGATTCAGATATTTTATAGTTCATATTAATAATAATTCAATTAAAAATCTAATTCAATTTAATAAAATAAAGGAGTTCGTTCTTTAAAAATTATAAACGAACTCCAAAAAATGAAGCAACATAAAAAATATTTTCCACTACCACTGGATTACTTTTTTCGCATGTTTTTGACGTTAATAAATGGTTGACAAATATTTCATTCCCTTTGTGATGCAAAAATCATCGTGCAAACACAGGTAGCTTAAAATGAATTTTAAAATAAAGTACATACATAGGTAGATATATAAGTTCTGGATCAAGCATGATTCCTGCCTGTAATTGCAGGATTTCACGCTAGAATGGAAGTTGAGTTCATGATAAAGTTATGAGTGGTATGAATTTTCCAAAGATGACGCACTAACATTTCTCACACCAAAATATAAGGGAGACCGAAAACAGTAAGCCAAAATTTTATAAGAAAATAAGTAATTGTAAAAATTTTGTAATCTTAATTATATTTTCTTTAAAATTAAATTTATTTGATATAAAAATGGTGTATACACATGGACGGAATGTTTTACAAGAGTTTATTCTAAGATCTAATTTTTTACATTTGAGTCAATTGCAAAAACGTTTAAATTTTATTTACTCCTTGGTCTTTTAATGTAAGTTAGGTAAAGTTATTTTAAGTTATTAAAATATATAATATATATGTATGTTTACACATGCTTTGTGTAAAGTATTGTTAATATACATGCATACATATACATAAGTACCTATGTTTTTAAAAAAATTAGAACCGATTATTTGTACAATCAAGAAAATAATGATTTTTGAAATTTTTGTTTTGCCTTAATAATAGTTATGTATATAAATGGAAAAAAATGAATACTTTCTAAAGCATGTGAAAAGCGATTTTACATTGTCTTTAATTTGTATTCGCCGACATTATTCGAGACAAAAGGATAAGAGATGTTTAAAAAACTTAATTTATAACATATCAAATATGATCAAAGGAAATTAATTTGTCTATGAATTGTAAATAATATAAGATACAACTAAACTGCATATTAAAGAGCTAATTAAACTGAAATTGCTTAATGTATTCCCTTTGCTTAAGTCCCAGTCAAATGTAATAATGATTTTTTCTGTATCTTTCCACGGATTTTCTCCATCATCAAAATGCATCGGACATTGATCACGTTCCCTCTCGTACTCCATAGCATCAATTGCTACTGCGGCTCCTTCGCTATTATTCCACGAAATAACGTCTTGTTTCAAATTACAGAAAGCTCCTACGGCTTGCGACATCAGAACGCGATTTAAGTCAGATCTTTGATATACCCAGCACCTATATTTTGAAAGCGGATCTAAATCGTCATAGGTAATTAAATATGACTTTAAGTTCTCTTTCCAAAATCCTATGCACTTCATTTGATAGTCAGGATCACCTGAAATTTAAGAACATTAATTTCATTGCGAGAAAACTAAAAAGATTTTTTTACTGTAAATGTCAACCGGCCGCCCTAAGTGATCAACTGATAAGCAATAATTTTCATCAATTGCCATTTCTTTTTGGTCAGTATCGCAAACAGATAAATCAGAAATATTTTGTTTGCAATGAATATCTGGCCTTGGACTAAGCGTTACTCCTCCTAAAATTCTGTAAAAAATAGTCAGAATGCGGGCCATTTAAAAATATAAAAACAAAAAATAATATTGAAGAAAATTAAAATAAAAAATAGGCATAAAATAATAATAAAATTCACCTAGTTTTGAAAGGGTGTTCGCCACGTTGTGTAAAATTAAATTTACCAGCTACGGGACATCTAACCGGAACTGGATTTTTCGCTAAAAATAAGTCGTACAACCAAGCTTCCCTGTTAGGAAACTGCACCCAAGAGCAAACCGTGCTAAAATCATCTTTAATAAAGGACGTTCCCATACGATATCTTATAACGTTATGGTGTCTTGGAACAAAATCGAAGCATATGTAATCTTTTTGACTATGGATGAAAATTAATAATTTTTCAAATGTTCTTACTTTTAAGTTAAAATTTTTACCATCCGTCAACTGTTAAACGCGCCATCATAATTCGGGAACCTCTTTGTTCCTTACATATGTAAATTTTTCTGCGAAAACGGGCTAAAAGACATCAGTTTTTTTTTAAATTATATGCATTTATAACCTGAAAGACTAACCTTGATCTGGATGATAAGTTTCAATTATATGGGTTTCATTGATAACAACATCAGCATCTATATTGGCTGTATTTACCCACTCTCCACTAAAATTTTGCGGTAATCTACATCCAGGCTCTACAACTTCAGCTTTCTCTGGTGTTAGCTTTAAACGCTCCGGTGAATTTTCAGGGGTCTTTAAGACATTACATTCGGGAGTTATAGAAACACCAAGATACAAATCATCGTCTCGATTTTTAAGAAAACATCTGTATTTTTCATCTTTTCTACTTTCTTTTGTATTTGAAACAGCAAAAAAGTGATTCTTTCCTACAAACCAATCTCCTAAGCAACTATACTCTACTGTACCAGTAAAAGTGCCGTCCATTCCTGTTCAAGATATGTTATATTATTTAAAAATAAAAACAAACTTTAACAGCGTACCTTCACACTTATGGTAAGTAATATTGAATTTTTGGTTTTGAATCAAAAATTGGGTTCCTGGCACCTGACATGATTGAATTTTCGCTTCAGGACGATCACAAACCCCAGTAAATCGAAAACGATTCTAAAATAATTATAATATATGTATATATATTAATGAAATTTTATAAATCATATTTTTAACCTGATAAGTAAATTGCCAGACGCCTTCCAAAGCTGATCGACAATTAACTGGTATATAATTCTCATTAAATAAAGTGATTAATTGTGAGTCATCTTTTATACCACGGCATATATTTTCCACAGTTGGTTCTTGCCCTGGATTTAATGTAATACATGGGCTTTCATACTTTTCAAAAACATTGGGTGTCCTTGAAAATATAACAACGCAGTGATAACAGTTTCGGGAGCCCTCGAACACAAACGTATAGTCACTTCCATTGATAACTTTCATAATACAATAGCCCCGATCCGACATAGAATTTACATCTATTACAGTTATAGTTGGTCTCCCAACTTCCCAAGAAAACCATGATCCCCGCAGGAGTGGAGGCATTTCACAGTATCGAGACTGCGACTGACAACAAAATTGTTGAACTAAAACAAGCAATAACAATATACATTCCCAATTATTTTTAAAAGGGTGTGGCATTATTAATAAAATTAACTTACTCGAAATAAAAATTGTTAAAAATAATAAAAAAGTTTGCATTTTTGTAGCTTTTAAATGAACTAAAATCAAACATTTAATTATTAAACCATTACCCACTACTTTTATTTTCTAAATTATAATTAAAAAAAACACGATTTAAAATATCTAGTACAAAACAAATAATGACAATTGAGAAATGACATTTTTAAATAAGGAATGCCAGTTATACTATAATAATCGAAACCTTAATTCAGAGGACAAGTCACACAAAATGCAAGATCAATAAAATATATACATGGATGAATTATCAAAATTGTATGTTTGCAATTAGTAAAATGTCAAAATTTTTACATGATATGCGAAAACCTTTCATATAACCTGTATATTAGTGTTAACAAACATTGTAAATAGTGAAAGAATTTTTAATTTGATACAGGTGACATGCAATTTTTTGTTTTGCAATTATTGCTTGTAATCATAATAATTGATTGTAAATATATTACGCGAGTATATACATATGTAACTTAAGTAATGCATCAACACAAAGCAAATGCGCGAATTAACATAATAATTAGTTTGTATAGCAGCTTGATTGCCTGATTTAATAAAATAATACAGTTGCATATAAACGACCTCTAACATAAACTAATGAGTCACAGATAAGAGCAAAAACTTAGTTCATTAGTTCTCACAAATAAAGCACAGATAACCAGAGCTTACCTTTTTTTGCTCAAAGTTCAAATTTGACAAGATTCAAAGTTGTGATAACATGTTCCAAAATTTTATAAACTGGGATTTTTAATTTTAGCTTTGAACACTATAATGTTAAAAACTAAAGCGGATATATTCCTTAACCGATTTGAATCTGCTCTAATGTAAAAAAACGAAAACACCAATGGAAGTCCCAAGATGTCGCTGTCAAATAATGCTCTTTTGTAATAATTTTTCTTTTGTTTGTCATAATGTCAAGGATAATTTATTTGTAAATGTTTTATATCGTCGGCTTAATCTAATAGCAAATAACTCATTTTGCTCTACTTTACAGGAGACAAAAAAAAACTATTTTGTGACAATATTTTATATGGTTGCTTGTAAATGTTTTTAATTAATTTAATGTTTAAAAAGAATTTTAATTAGAATATAACCTTTATTTACCTTTCATTGATATATTTACCTAGAACAATGAGTTACAGGAAGTTATGAAAAAATTTATGCCAAAAATGAGTTATTTGCTATTAGATTAAGCCGACGATATGTCATTCTATGGCTATATAATGTTACACACTTCTTTTCAAACATGCGGCAATCTCAATTTCGGTAGCATATTTGTTGCATTTCTACTTTATGTCATAAAAAGCAACGAACTAGAAATAAAAATAAGTAAACGTAGAATATAAATATTTCTAATTTCAGTCAAAACTGAAATATCAAATAATTTACAAGTGTATAAAACATAAACAATTCGCGAAATTATATTTTACAGATATTGTAAAGTCAATACATAGGTTTTATTAATGGAAGGGCTTGATATAAATTCTTTAGAGGAAGAAGCTTTGAAAAGAAAGAAAAGGCTCGAAAATCTTAAAAGGAAAGCAGAAAATGAAAAAGATACACATAAAGATAATTTAAAGTAAGAATAAGGTTTTTATTTATTTTTGTCAATTAATAAAAAAAAAGAATTCTAGGCCTAAATTTAGGAGCTACAAACCTTTGGATAAAACTTTAAAAGAAGATAGCCAGGAAGAAAACGGAAAAGATACTGGCATTGAGGAACAAATTCAAGATCAATTGGAACTGCTAAAAACACCAATTACTATTGATGAAATCGACATAACGAATTTGGCTCCTCGGAAACAAGATTGGGATTTGAAACGCGATATTTCTAAGAAATTGGAAAAACTTGAGTGGCTTACACAAAAAGCAATTGCAGAATTAATAAGGGAACGATTAAAAATGAATCAAGAAAGTATTTTTGAAGCTGTAGCAACAGCTGAACTACAGTCTGAAAAATCCGATTTAAAACAATCATAGCTTTTGTAAAATTGGTTTTATTTAAGTATCAATGTTAAATAGGAAATTTATTATTTTTATAAGGCACGTACCATATAAAAATTATACCGTACATATTTGCTTTTAACTAAGTTTTTGTAGCTGCTTTAAGTTCTAAAATCTCTGAAAAAAAAAATTGTTTATTAAACAAAGATGTGATTGAAAATGTTATTGGTTTCGTACTGTTTTTATATTTTTTTTCAATAGATTCCACCGATTGCTTAATAGAAGTAATGTCAATAGGTAAATTTGAAGTTTCACTACGGATTTTCTTAAGTTCTTCTTCTAATGCCAAGATATTATTGTTTATATTAGATAAAGCTTTTTCTTTTTTTTTAATTGTTAACTCTTGTTGTAAAGCAACTTCCGTTCTCCAATCTATAGTTTTTTTCAATTTCACTATTTCAACAGCTTGCTTTGATATTATATCATTTGCTTTAGTAATTTCATCCGATGCAACTTCAAGGGCATTTCGTTTGACCTGACATAATTTTTTTTCAGCTTGTAATTCTGCTTTCAATTCAGACTTTAAAATACATGTAATTATTAGTGACTATTATTATCTATAATAAAAAATTTTACCAGCACTTTTTCAAGATTTGATATTTTTTTCTCGTATTCAGAATTTTTTTTTTGTAAATCATTTACTTGTTCATTATACCGGCAATCTCCACTTTTTTTTAAATCAAGTTGTTTAATGAGGTGTTCATTTGATTTTTTTAAATTAGAGTTTCCAATTTTGATTTGCGAAATCTCCTTACGCAAATTATCACACTTTCTAATTTCTTCACTACAATTTGAAAAGTTTAGATTAGATTAAAAAATGTTATTAATCAGGTATACTCCCTCGACAAGTTATGAAGTAGTTTCTTTGTAAAAATTTTAGATTTTTTTAAGTCAGAATTGATATACATACATAATATGTAAGTAAACAATTATCATAATTTCTTTGAAAACTAGATTTTCGAGGGAACTATTAATGGTGATTATTTTACCTTTTTTCTTTTAGTATATTAGCCTTTTCTAAAGTGATAAAATCAATTTTCGCTTGCAATTGGGATATAATTTTTTTGTATTCATTTTCGTCAGATTTTTTGGCTTCTGTTATAGATTTTATTTTATTATGCATTTCGTCAAAACCAGCTCTTTGTTTTTTAGTATACAGATGTTTTTGTTCTAAAATTTCTTCCTTCAATGTTTGGTTTTCCTTTTTGATTTCCAAAAAGTTTTCGTTACAATTCCTAAGAGCAGTTTGTAATCCAAGAATAGTAGTTTCATAATGTACTGTTTGTTTCTGAAATGAATTAAGTTTTCTCAATAAAATTTTCTTTCTATTGATGGTAACTTCGAATTAGGAATTTTAAATTTGAAAACGATTGTCATCGAGTAATTTAAAGCTGTTATAATTTAATGAAATCAAATAAAAAATTTTACCTGAAGTTTATCAATGATTTTATTTAAATGGTAATTTACAACGTTTAAAGAGGCTTCTTCAATAGGTAAACTTAAGTGGGTTAAATTTTTAAAAGCATGAACTTCATAAAATTGAAGTAAAATTTCATTTTCTTTATCACGACGAACAATAGAAATTTGAAGAGTTTTATTTTGACATCCTTGCAGTATTTTAAGCAAATTATCAATAAATCCTAAAAAAGTTACGTGCAAGGATTGATTAGTTTTTAATATGTTGAAAAATTGTGTATTTATTGTTGATGTATACATTTTGCGCTCGTTTTTTTCAGCTATTCTTATTTGCTAAAATGGAAGAGTTTTTTGTTATGCAAACGCAAATAAAACATAATTCATTTAATTAACTTACTATCAATTCCTTGTCACTAATTTTTTCTGCTAATATACAACATGTTTTGGGCACAACTATTTGATCCAATTTAAAATTTATTTCAAATTCATAAGGGTGGAATATTGTTTCGATTTTCTCTTGTGGATTTCTAATGAATGCTTCAGCACCATTTTCTATACTATTAAAAAACATTTAACAAAATCTATTTGCGAATTGCTTAAAATTTAGAATTAAAATTTAAAATTTAAAAAGTACTTGATTGTTGCCGTCTACGCTTAAATTTTTTTTCAAAAATTGGTATAAATTTTGACATAACAAAAATATTGGCCGTGGTATAAATTAAGAAAAATGATTTAACCTGTTTGGTTCCCATACTGTAAATTTGGACATTGTTAAAGTTCAACTTTAAACATTCCCAAAGTCGTCCATTGGTAGTCTAAAAATAGCAATTTTGAATGTGTTGCGCATGCGAAAGAGAAGTATTGTTATTTCTGTCTGGTATAAGAGAGGTTTTAGATAAATTATATTTAGATGGACTTGAACGAACTTGAACGAAAAAATTGTTGTTTGTTATGTATGTTCTTCTTTATGTATGTACTGTTTATGTATGATAATTTTTGATTTTACATATTAATTTCCGGATATAATATAAGGAGCAATATGCAATAAATCAAATAAAAAATAATTAACTTGTTATTTCCGAATGTAAATGTATATATATATGTATAGTAATGCTGTACGTAATATAAGTTTATAAATATTTTTTGTGCCTTTCGAATAAAATTCAATGATGATTAGAGATATAAGTAAATGTAAATTTTCATAAAATTTATATTTGAATTCATAATAGGAAAAATATATAGTTTGATAGATATAGAAATAAATAATTTTGTTTCGAGTTCCTATTACTTTCCTGATTTTGAATATTTTGAATGAGCATTCAATCTTTCGAACCCAAATTTATATTTTCCTTTTCGTGAAAACTTTTAAACCTAAATATTTCTATTAAACGGCAGCACTTATTCTCTTATATAGGTTTGGTTTTTTTTGCATAATTTGGCGGACCAAATAATGTCAAAGTGAATTTAAAAAAAAAAGCAGTGAATATTTGAACTAATATTGTAAATAAAATTATTTTTGATTTGGATGGATTCATTTAAAAAGCTAATATCAGATGTGATCAGAAATGGAGAAAAACAAAATTATGAAGAATTAAAAAAAATAATTTTGAAAACGCCACAAGGGAAAATATTAGAAACAATTAAATATAGTGTCAGGGAAGGTGGAGTAAACTTCTGGAATTATTTATTAAAAGGATTCGCTCTATGTTCTAATAATGAAAGCTGCAATCAAAGAAGGTTTGAGTGCGTGGAAATGTTTTTGCGTGAACTCAGTATCACCGAATTGTCCTATAAACAAACGTATGATTTAATAACAAGATTATGCGGTGAACTCTTGTTTTTCCGAAATTCTCAATTGCTTACTATTATTGAGATTTGTAATGATTCAATTAGATTTGGTGATTCAAAATTGGTTTGGTGGAAGGATATATTCCCAGAAGCCTTAGCTTTGATTTGCAATCAAGAAAAATTAGAAGTAGATGGTGTAAGTATGAGCGGAATTGAATATAAAAATAATATGGTTAAATTTCTTTTCTCCATGAAATGGAATTTGTCAACTTTAACAGCTCTCGCTAATATGTTCGTAGAGTTAAAACTTGACGAAAATGAGATCGTCAATGCTTTGTCGAAGTTCTGTAAATATCTTCAAAAAGTAAGTCCGGCTGAGCTTCCACCGTTAGCATTTCAACTATTTTGTATGTGTCAAACTGCTTCACATTTAATAATACCAATACTTGCTCTGCAAAAATATTTTCATCACTATTATTATAAGAAGCTGTTTACGGATTTAGAAAGTGAAGCTAGTGGATTAGACAGTATTGATTTGTATGCAGAAAAAGATCTTCGAGAAGCTGAAGAAACTATTCTACACCATTTAAATTTTTGCACAAGGTTTCGTATTAGTGAAGAGGAGGTATGTGTTATACTAAGAAATCTTACTTCTTGCCCAGAAATAATTTTGAGACCTTTTTTCCTAAGTGCAGTAATTTCAATGAGCAAAAGTAATCGGGATCCAGATTGCTGGATATTATCTTCACCTCTTTTAATATTTTTAAAAAATGTAATAAGAAAAAATGAAGAGCAAATAGAGCTTTCTAAAAGTTCTACGTGGTGTGACGATACTTTCCATGTACAAGCAAAAAATATGCAGCAAATCTTTTCAGTTCTTATAGATCAAAATAAGGATGGAAAAGATGTTATAACACCCGGGCTAGTAAATTTGGCTTTTATTTTATTAAGAGCGAAAAATCATAAAAAACTGAGTGTATTAAGCACTTCATTTTTAGCGCAGTTTATTAAAAAACGTTTTATTTTTGGTCATGGTATTGTTAAAAATTTAGCGAACTGGATGTTAGCAGAACAAGATTGTGAACGTTATTCTGAGTGCCTTACAATATTAGCCCATTCCGACACCTATACAGTTTCAGAGTCATTTCAAATAATTAAAAATGTTTTGGATTTTTTCTTATGGATTCCGGGAAAAAATGCAATGAGAATGATGTCCTTTATATTGCCACTAATGAAAATATCTCAGCCTATTCGTGATGCATTTATTGATACAATGAAAAAAGCAATTAATTCAAAAGATCATGAAACTTGCCTATTAGGGGTATATGGCTTTTGCAGTTTATTGAAACAGCTCAATAATAATAATTCTCAACGTGCAGGTGGAAATGGATCCTTTTTATTTACGCAACAATGCATCTCTGGATATTCTTTAATGACACAAAGTTGTTTAAGCAGTCGTTCTAATTCTCAAAGACATTTTGATATTCTAGTTTTAGAAATCGTTGGATGTTTACGAAAGTGTTTTAGTGCATCCGTAGAAATAAAGGAAACTCTATATGAAAATTTTGGTAGAGCAGTATTATTAAATCCAAAGTTGGCGCCACATTTTCTTGAATTTATTGACAATCATTTCCGCGGCTACTTTAAAGTAGACGAAAGCGAAACTGTAATTCGTTGGGAGAAAATTGTTTATCAAGAACAAGAATGTGAAACTATTAAAATATGTGATAATATCGGTTGTTTAACAATATTAGTTTCTTCAATTGTATTAATTTGTGAAAAAAATGATATAGTTCACAACAGTGTTGTAATGAAAAGTATAATAAAAACTGTAGCTGAAAGAATAATTTCAAAAGATTTTAAACTAATAGAGAATATTAATAATTCAGATACTTTCGCATTGTATTTAGCTATTCAGCAAATTAATTTTCTTGAAGCGTTGATGTACTACTTGTTGTGGACTTCAAAAATTACGAATAACAACGTAACTCAAATTCAGAAATTATTTGGAGAGCATCAAAGAATAAAAAATTTAGTTGAACAAAGTAGTCTAAAAGGAAAAAAGATAAAGGATCAGAATGAGAAAAATGAAACCAATTTAATAAATAACAAACATATAAAAAAATCAACCAAAAGCTCTATTAAATTGAAAAATATTTGGGATCTTTTGACCCTGGAACGATTTTTGAAATTGCTTCATGATGACATGGTTCCTTTTGCAGACTCAGTTTCAACAACTTTTTTGAAAAGCAATACAGCTTTTGTACAATATATTTTAAAAGTAACAGCATCTTATTTAGAGGAGCTGCGTTCTCAACCAGACTACAAACAAATTAAACTTAGTATAAGAATATTTAAACAAGTGTGCGTTGTAACAAGAGTAATTTACGAGCGCTGCATTAAAAATTTGCAAAATTTATGGCGAAATTTTGATGTGGAATCAGCTTACCTAGCAGTAGAATGTTTAAAGGAAAGTCTTTTAACTACAAAAAAACTCTACTCCACAAAATTTGAGCAGTTTCTTAAAGAAGTTGATCTATTATTTTTTTCCGATGAAAAGAATAAAATTTATAACATAATCCAAAATATTTTAGAAGAAACAACAAATGAAAAAGAAGATATAGGGGAAGAATTTAGTCAAAAAATTTCCAGTTCGCTATTACAGTGTTTAGAAGTTTTACATTCTTTTATCAGTGCCGGTACATCTTTAGCATTGGAAAGCTTTGATTGGTTATACGGGTTTTGTAAGAAATATGAAATTAATCAGGAATCATCATTGATATACAAATTACTTTTTACGATGCGTTTGAAAAGTCATTCTGGTGCGTTTTTTGATTTAATTGCTTCACATTTAGGAAAAGTCATGGGAGTGATTTCAGAGACCGAGCTAACAACACCTCAATCAGAATTTAAAGCTCTTAACGGAACGTCATTCACGTCTTGCTATATTTATTTATTACAGTCTTTGCAGCAACAATTAGAATTTATAGATTTTTTTATTTTCAAAATTAAATCATCATTTTGTAATCTTAAATTTGTTTCGGAGGATGATCAAGAAATATGTGGTATAAATTTGAAAACAATGGAACGTTCTGTATGTACTCAATTTATCCACATTACTAATTGTTTGGTGCAAATGACAAACATTGACACACCCTTAGGAGAATGTATGAACAATTTAGTTCGCGTTCTTATTCAATTTTATGTCTCCTTGAATAACTTAACGAAGCACTTAATGTTGCAACATTCTCGACTTGCAGTATCATTTCAAAATATTAAATATGATCAAGTTGTTCGCCTAGCCGGAAAACCGTTAGCTTCACGAATTTATGCGTTAATTATAAACATTGATGAAAAAATTTTATACAGTTTGGATGAGAAAAAAAACAAAAAAAATCCAACAGCAGATGGTGCTAAAGTGTTAAGAGAAACAAAACATTTACCTAAATTGATCTTACGAATGGAAACTTTCAATAAGTACGTAATGTTTTTGAGTAAGAAAACTGGAAATGATATAACTCATTTTTTACATATTGGAACAGTTAGAGATTTTAGAATTCAAACTAAAAATTTAAAAGATGCGATTCATGAAAGTTTGGATCATAGTAGTCAAATTGAGGACTTGCTTGATGATCAGAATGATAATAATACGGAAATAATAGATAGCGAAAGAGACAGTAATAATGATGAAAAATCAAGTGGAAGTGATGATGAATTATCTGCAGCTAAAACCGTGGCTTCAAAAAAAAGTGTTGGTAAACCAAATAAATCGAAAAAAGTTGATTCAGAAAAGAGAAAAATTGTTTCCACAAGGTCTTCAACTCAAAGGAAAAGCCAGGCAGGAAAAGATATTTCAATAATGGAAGAAACTCCGGTTATGGGATTTTTAAATGAAGAAGAAAGTGATGAAAATGCTGGTTTACAATTTTTACAAAATGTAGCTAAAATTACGGAGAAAGGACGCAAACGTAAAAGTTTAAACTCAAATTTAAATGAAAAACAAGAAAACAAAAAAAGAAAGACCGCTTTAAAAAAGAATTAAAAAATTAAGAAATTTGAATACTGAGGAAGCTTATCCAAGCGTTAATACAATTTCGTTTTAATAATTTTGTAATATTTATCGCTAAACTTAGACGTGCATTTGTGTTTGTTTGTTTACATAAAAACTAAGTATGTAGGTATAATAAGTTCCTTTTATATGGCATAAAAAATGTACCTATGTATATTTATTTATAAATTGGCTTTTATTAAATTTAAAGTTTATTTTAAGAATTAAAGCATGAATTAAAAACAAATTTTGCTAGGATACTAAGAAAGATATTAAAAGTATGTATTTACGCTAACCATTGGAATCTAAGGAATAATTTTTGTGTCCCGAAATCAAAGAATTATTTAAAGCTGTTCTTGTTTTTTTTAAACATTTGTATCATAAGGTTACAAAGAGTCTGCTGAGAAATGAAACAGTGTATAAAAAAATACAGCAATCCCTCCTATAACGTAATTTTTGGGACCGAAAAATTTTTACGTTAAGTGAAATTACATTATAGGAGGTCCAACTAAACTAATATGACTAATATGTATGTACTTGATATTTGCCTAAACTAGTAAGTTGTCTGATGGTAAAGAAAGAAATTTAAATGAAAAAAAAAATAGATTATTGCATATTAAATTATTTTAAAATTACGTAAAACGAGGTAAAAATTACATTAAGTGAAAATAGGTAGGAAAAATAAAATTTACATATACAGCAATCCCTCCTATAACGTAACCTCTTACTATATAATTTCGATATATGTAAATTTTATTTTTCCTACCTATTTTCACTTAATGTAATTTTTACCTCGTTTTACGTAATTTTAAAATAATTTAATATGCAATAATCTATTTTTTTTTTCATTTAAATTTCTTTCTTTACCAACAGACAACTTACTAGTTTAGACAAATATCAAGTACATACATACATATTAGTCATATTAGTTTAGCTAGACCTCCTATAATGTAATTTCACTTAACGTAAAAATTTTTCGGTCCCAAAAATTACGTTATAGGAGGGATTGCTGTATCGATATTATATAGTAAGAGGTTACGTTATAGGAGGGATTGCTGTATATTGTTTCGAGCAAATTGTATTTAAAGTTTTTTGAAAATTTAAACTTACGTTTATAGCCTAAAAAGTACATAAAGCTTTTTATATAAGTTATTTTGAAAGATAACACCAAATTTTTAAAGCTTTTAACAAAACATTTATACTTTTATGAAATTATAGAACACTATCGCAATCAATGTGAAGAGTTACTTAATGTAGTTGTACTTTGAAATCGACTACGGGGAATCCAATGGTGGTAAAATCGGAAAACAGAGTATACGCATCATACACTGTTTCATTTCTCAGCAGACGAAAGTATAAATGGATTTGCTTGTCTGAATTTTTGTTAAAAAAACCCTTAATTTTTTATAAGGTATTTCGAAATTAAAAAGTCCCAGAAATTGTTAAAGATGTGTTTAGACGGATTATTGTGTATTTCTTTAGTTTTGATTTGATTGAGAACTATTTAAAATAGTAAACTGCAAGACTTTCCCCTCTATTATGTATATCGGTATCGGCCGATAAACGATAATTTATCGGCAAAATTTTGTGTTTGTATTACCAACATTGTTTATCGGTAAATTTTATCGGAGTCGGGAAAGCTTTTTTTCCTGTATAGGAAACGTATTAGCTGGTATTATGAAAACGATAAATTGTCGGATTTTCACCGATTTAAAAGCGGGTACAAATTTTTAGACGACAGATTTTTTTTTTTGTAAAATCTTCATTTTATCAAGGAAACTGGTGTAATTAATTGCTTTTTTAAAATGTAAGCATTTTTTCTAAATTATTTTCTTTCAAAATGTTATTCATATATTTTATTTAGGAGTAAAATCGTAAGCAACAAAAAACAAATTGCGCGGTTAGTAGAAAAAATGGAAGAGGACTTAAACCTGGCAAGGAATGATAATCTGAAATTCTGGATAAACCTAAAAAATGTGTACATATTATATAAATAATAAAATAAAATAGGTACCTAAACATACATTTTGTTGTCTAAATCCAATGGATTAGTTGAATCTCTTATATGTCGTCTTTGAATAGCTTGCGTTTCTTCACTTACTACCGTTTCTTCACTTTCAAAATATAATGCACGCGACATTTTCCCGATATATGTATATTTTTATTTTACAAATTTAACAGAAAATAATTTGCTTACAACAACTTTTTAGCACATCAAAACCAAATTCAAAATAGTTTTAAAAATTTTTTGAAAATAACTTTTGAAAGAAAACAAATGTCATTAGAAAAAAAAAAAACTTTTTCTCCAATTTACAAAAACAAAAATTTGTATGAAAAAGCTTCTTTAATCGGTTGAAATATTTTTATCGGTATCGGTTCATAATACAGAAGAAACTTAAAACCGATTAGAACTGCCGATAATATATCGGCCGATACCGGTGTTCATAATAGAGGGGTTTGTAAATCTTCATTTAAAGAATTACTGAACTCAAAAATTTTGAAAAACGTTAAGTTTTAGCAAAATCAAAAATGTTGTACATACATACATATGTATAGTTTCTACTCATTACCTAATTGCCTCATTAATTAGTGTAACTCATGCATTATATTATACATGTTAACATTTGTAATCAAACAAGCAGCTGTGAATTCTACAACCTAATAACCGCGATATTGCATTATTATTGTAAACCACTGACATTTCAGAAACAAATTGGTACATGTAGCTTATCATACATTGCATAGTCATAGAGCGTCTACCAAATGTTTTCACTTTTTGTTACACATTTTGGTAAACAAATATGTAATGTAGACTAGCAATTGTACTTTATATAGCTGTGTACCTTTAATTACAAAAAAAGGTAATTTTCCACTTACATTTTGATGTTTCTCTCCTATTCTTTTTTCCATATATGTATGTATGTACATACACCATGACTTCAATAACGCTTTAATAAAGATTTAAGTACGATATTAATACGGTTGTAGTCTCAGAGCTTTCAATACCTTTACATTGTAAAAAAAAACTACCTTTTCGCTTTTCGTTCATTTTGGAATATAATTTTTACCATATCCATATAACTTTGACATTTAACAAAAACTACCTTTTCGCTTTTCGTACATTTTGGAATACAATTTTTACCATATCCATATAACTTTGACATTTATTTGAAAATTTCAATTTAAAGTTCTGTGCAAATGTTCATTTTTATAAAACGTTACCACATCATTAAAAATATAGCATTTTTATGTTGCATTTTAGGAAAAAAACTTGATAACTAGAACTTTAATGCTGAGAATATATGCTAGTTTATTTTATCTGTTGTTTCTGGCAACTTTTATTTTACGTCTCCACTACGAATAAAACGCAATTAGGAAAAGTATACAATGTCAAGAGCTTTTACTAAACTTTTTGGAATTTGATACTGTGTAAAATTTCCGTCGTAAGCGCATTATTGAAGTCACGGATACTGAAATTTTTGTCTGCAAAAATATGTCAAGTCGGCGTTAATTTCGCTTGTTATTGACATAATGGTACAAAGCGAATTTAGTACATTCTTATTTTCGTTAAAAATTCAGATTGTACCAAAATTAAGAACGTCAAATTGACTGCAGATCTTTTATTTTGGTAGACGGGGATAGTTTTAGGTTTAATAATTGTCGAAGCGAATGACATTTTGAGCGAATATGAATTTTTGGAATTATGATTAGCGAATTCGCCTAAATTTTAGGCGAATGAGCTATCAAATCTGTCGAATGAAAATTCTGTGTGACAAGCCTGGCGAATAAAACCGAAGATCACAAGTGTTTTTGGATATTTTTTTTGTTGGATATTACAGCATTTATAGTGATATAATGGAAAAATATAAATTATCTGTAAAGTAAGTTCAAAAATTTTAGAAATTATTTTAAAAAATATTGATTGTTTAATATTAATTTAAACGTGAAAAAAACGAACCAAAAAAAATTCGAGCATTTAAATAAATTAACGGACAATAACGCCGTAATATTGTTAAAAGGATAGGAAAATTTAATTGTTTTTGAAAAAAGCAAAAACAATGTACATATCTGTGGTGTTAACCTTATTATTTTCGGTGGATTTTCTGACGTCTTGCGGTAGCAACATTTTTGATCTTTCGAAAGAAAGCATTCGCCAAGTATAATTTAAAATATCATTCGATTCGTCTATTCGATTCGTCCCTTACACTCGCCTAGCGAGTCCAATCCATTCGAATCGACCAGCTATTCGCTTCACCGATCATAATAAGGGTATTAATTTCGAAACATAAACAAGAATGAAGTGAAATGTAAACAGAGCAAAGTGATGAAGTGGTATTATTGGAAAGTATAATGGTTTTCAAGGTAGAATTTTAAACTTCTAAATTGATTTTATTCTGAAAATCTCAAAATTTAAAAAAAACGCAATCTTTGTTTTTAGAAGACAGGTTTTGGATAAATTCACAAGGTATTATATGAATTCATAACATAAATTCATAAAATTTATTGTTAAAAATTTACAAATTGCTCAATTTGTTGTCTTATTAACATTATATTCGAAAAGTATAACGCTTGTTAATCTGATCATTAAAGTTTTACAACTTCAAAACTTTACTAAAGACAACACTTTTTTAATGATGTCATTTCTCCATCGAAAATCAAAACAAAAAAAGCGCAAAGAGAAATATGTAAAAATATTATTTTGTCAACATAAATATAAACCGGGAAACTCTCGGAAAGGATTTTTAAAAAAAAATATTTCGACTAAGGTCATTTATTTTAAAAATTACATTAGAAAAGCTTTACAACTGGCAACATGAGGACCCAATTAGGTATGTGAAATCAAAACTGTTTCTTTATTTTTTTTTAATCTTAAAATTTAGCCTTTGTTTTAGTTTTGTTAGTTTTTTTCCCTCTAATAATTGGTGATAATAATTTGAAAAGTGGTTGGAAGAAACCAAATGCTTGGGAGGAGGATGTAGTGGATACAAAGTCGGAATCATCTGACATAGCGAAAAATGAGCACTCATTGAATACAAAAACAGAATTGTTTCAAGGAAAACTAAATGTTACATTGTTCTATGAGAGACTTATAAGAAAGCTGTTTAACAGGAAAAGTTACATTAAAGTAGTTTTACAGCTTTTTTTGTATTGCAATAATATTTTTCATACAATACCCTTTATTTTAGATTAATGATCAATTGCAAAGAACTATTTTATTTGAAATTAGTGAAAATGAAATGGCGTTAGTAGAGCAAACAACAGATCCAAGAGATTGGGATGAGTTTGTTACAAAGCTGTTTGCGAATTCAAAAACGGCAGATATTTCTGAAACAAATTTCGTACAAGATTCTTTCAATACGAATTATTATATTCATCAAATTTTAAATACTTCCTGGCTATCTTTTATTGAGGTATAACTTTATGAATAATACGATGTTAAGATTTCATTTTGTATCTTTTAGGACAATATTTTTCTAGCCTCAGCTATTTTGATTTTTTCAATAATATTTTTGCATAGAAAGTTTGATTATAGTCTTGTAGCGTTAGGCCTGCTGTCCATTTTTATAATTGGTTTTATCTGTGAATACTGGGATTGCAATAATGTAAGTCTGATAAATTAAGTACATACATACATATAATATTTTTTATTAAAAAATTGTGTGCCGATTTTTTGTGGTAAAGAATTTAATTATTTTTGGGGGCACCGTAGCGTAAATGTGGTTGCAGCTAATGGTTTCATACTCTGTGACGTCGTAGCCAATGTTCAGAATAGAAACTTTTCTAGCTCTCTCGTCGCAAATGTTTTTGAAGGACGAAAGAGGTTTTCAAAGATAATTTTTGTTTGTAAGCTTAGAAGTATTTTTTAATCCAATAAAGTATCAAAATTTGCTAGAGATCATCAGGTTTCAAGGTTTTAGGTAATATAATATCTTAAGGTTTATATTTCCCAAAATATCCTTTAAGATTTTGTAGAAAAATTTTAAATTTATTTCATTATTTTTTCCACAATAAATTTAAAATAATTTTTTATAAGAAAATCATTTAAGTTACCCCTCTTTTTCCATAAATTTGTAGTCATAAAGGGTGGTGTTTTTTTCTTATTCTCACGTTTTTTTGTTTTTTAGTAAAATTAACTTTGATTTTTTTGTGGTTCGTTTTGGAAGAAAGCAAAATATTTAACTCAATGAAAACTTAAAATGATGAAAATCGATAAAATTCACAGAAGAAAATCAGCTTTGATAGTGTTCCTTTCGTATTAAAGAAAATTTTTACTATTATCCTATATTTACTATGGAAATATGAAACTATTATCTGGAATCAACCTTTCGTTACAAAAACCGTTTTTGGCTAAAGTTGGCTATCTTAAAAGCCTTACAACATTTTTTCTTTAATATTTTTATGCTATTGTTTGATTCGAAAAACATACGTACATATTTACAGGAACTTGAAATTGAAAAGGTTATCGATTTATTAGATAAAGACGAAAGAAATCCGTGCGAAGGCTTTGATGTTCAAGGTATGGATATAAGAGTTGAAAAACGACCTTGGTATAAATTTTGGTCGCCAGCATCAAAAAAGGAAGAATGTGCTGATTATTTAAGGTATTTTATCAATTAAATGTAAAAAAAACCAAGTTTATTAATTTATTTTTGAAATATTAAATTTTTTAAATGAATCAGGAAGCAAAGTAAAAAAATGTCAAACTCGGAAACCTGTAGAGCTGACCATGTTCTTTCAAGATATATTTATAATGTTTTCATGCATCAATTTGAAATGTTGATTCGCCGATTTTTGGAATTGAATAAAAAACTGTATAGTAAGTTAAACACTCTTAATAATACTGTTCATTCCTACTTAACACGGATTCATATATTTGCAGATGACTTGCCTTTCGGAGTGAATTATTTTGCCATGGGATGCTCTTGTTTTTTTTTAATATCTTTTTTGACACTATTTTTCAAATATATTCTTGCGTCCTTGATATTTCGTATTCCAAGTTTGAGAAATAATCAACGAAATATTAATTCAGGAGCACAAATACAAAATGATTCCCACCATGCTTCTTATCATGAGATGCTTCTTAAGCAAAATGAGAGTATAAATCAATTAGCAAAACTAACTACATTAACAGTTCGGCATGCACTAAATAATGGCTCTCGAGTGCAAAACATCGAAGAGATTGAAGCTATTTCTGCTCCATCAGAAATTTTAGAGTCAATTGAAGATAATTGTGACAATTGTACATCAGTTGAACCGGTAACTGAACATGAAAATGTAGTTGATATAAACAAAAATGAAAAAACAGTTAATGATAAATCATCAAGTATTAAAACTTCTGGTATAAGTTTGAAAAGCATAGATAAATAACCAAATACATATTGTATATAAAATAACTTCATAATTTAGTTAAATTATTTGAATTTTAAATACTGTTATTTTACAATTTAATGAATTCAATTATGTTGTAAATGTGTTATTGTACTAATTTATACTTAAATTTTTTACAAATTTTTTATGCTGCTACAGTATCTTTATAAGCATAATGTGTAAGTATTTTTGAAAAAGTCTACAAAAACCTTGAAAAAAGTTTTTTACAGAATTATTTTAAAACTAATAAAATTTGAAATATGTATACAAAAGCTGTTTTTATTTCAATTTTAAAACAATTTTTTTCGAATAGTTTTGATATTGCAATTTGCAGAATTAATTGGTAAAACCATGCACAGTCTATCAAAAAAAAAAAACAATATTATAATTTTTAATTTCTGTATATATCATTTTATTGGTTTCTTTGGTAATATAATAGTTATTGATATTAATATAAATATATTTAAGGTTTTTATATTTTATTTTTTTAAGCTTAAAATAACTTTCTATACAATACCGTCTTTTGATTTTTTTTTATTTATTAAAATAAGATAAAATATGTAACAATATATGTATAAGAGTTTGTTGTAAATTAATGTTGATGGGATTTTTTACTTATAATAATTAACAAAATAAAATCCAACGATTTTTATTTTAAATTTTATAGTTTTTTTCTATAAGTTTTTTTGTGATATTTTATATGAAATTAATATTTAATTTAAGATAAAACTTATTATCTCTTCGAAGGATTTAGTTTACTATGTTATATTTGATTTTCACCATAGCTTTTATTAGATAAAGATAAATTAATTCTTTATTTTATTTTTAACAAATTCCAAAAAAAAATGCAAAAAGTGCTTATTTATAAAGAGATTTATTATTTTTATTTATACTTACAATTAGCAATGCAAAAAAAGCATCCTTCGCAAAGTTTTATTAACTTTTTTAAAGCAAATTATTAAAAGCTATTTCAATAAATTATCATAACCTGTAGTTTTTTTCAATAATTATTTCAAATTAAATTTCATTAATCTTTTTTTTTTAATTAAAATTTTTTTGATTTTTTTTCTATATTATAAATTTTATTATTGTACATTGATAAATATTTTTATAATTATGCAATCATTTTTTTTATAATTTATTAAGAAAATTTGATATTAAACTATTTTTATAATTTTCATATAAACATATACCCCAATTTTCATATTTGGATTTTGAAATTCTAAAAATTATATTAGTTTAGTTCTGCAGATATTTAAATTTATGTCCAAGTTAAAAATTATTATTCTAAATTTAACTTATTAGTTCGTTGTTTATTTTGTTTCTACATATTTTTTTTTTTAAATATGTATAAATAAAATATAAGTACAATGTAATTAATTTAATATAAATATATCGTAATAATTGTAATATAAACTTTTGTATATATTTATTAATGCATAATCAATCATATTTTTTGATCGTTAATTTTTTTTGGTATTAAGCTTAAAAGCTGTAATATTGTAAACTAATTTTTTTTTTTGTATATTTTAATACGAATATAAAAATAAATTAAATATGCTCGAAATTCATGAGCACTGGCAATTTATATTAAATAATTTAACAAGTATAATTGAAATATTTTGATAAATCGTTTTAAAACCAAAATTACATCTAAAAATAAAACAGAACTAAATCTAATGAATATTATAATATGTGTAACAATATAGAAAAACATGAAATTTTTTAGTATTTTTGATTTATAACCTAAAATATATATTATTTTTATTTCAACATAATTTGAAAAGCTGTGAACTTGTCCAAAATAAAAACTTTATAATTGTTTTATAAAAGATATAAAAATAAAATAGCTTGTTTTGCCGACATTTTCTCGCTTAAATGTAAAATAATTTAAACTTATGTTTCGTTGTTTGCAGTATTTTTAAATATTTAGTATAATTATATTAAAAATTATAAAATTTCGTGTATATGTAATATTAATTTGAATAGGAAATACTTGAGAAGAATAAAAAAAAATTGCCAATTTATTTGTAATAAAAACTAAAAACTATTAATAATAAAGGAAATAAGATTAAAAAGAATTTTTTTTACACGAATCTACAAATATTTATATTTACTGCAATATATTCGTAATATTCGTTTTGCATACTCAATAATAAATATTTCAAATTAATTTATGTATTTTTTTTATTTATTTAATTACTATAAATACATATTGAATTTCAATATAATAAGGCAATATACTGGAATATCGCTGTATATGTATATACTTTATAATTATATGTTTAATATAGTATATTTCTTGCTAATTTATGCTCTATAAATATACGTATATATAGTTTATAAATATTATATATGTATATATGGTTAACATTTAATTAATATTGAAATAATAATTATAGTTTTTTTTTAATTTCATTTTTAATAGATTTGTTTTTTAATAATGGTTTTTATTCTATTTTATACTTATTTTTTGGTTAAATGAATTTTGAAATGAAAATTTTTATATTCTATAATATATTTTCATAAAATATAGCAAAACGCAATTATTTCTTAAATTGTTATTAGAACAATCACTGATTACATTTTAAAAAGTTTATAACAATGTTACATGAAATATTATATACTTTCCAATATAATCATATTAATATATTCAAAATAAATAGACGAACTATGTTAAAGTTAAAAAAGAAGTGAGTTCTTTCACATATTTTTCTACTAATAAAAAAGTAAAGCAATAATCAAAGCATTCGAATGTGTTGATCGTGGATTTCGATAATCCAGACATGCTTGAAAGTTCTAAATTATAAACCTTAACGTTCTTTTCACACATACTTGCAAATCTGCTGAACTGATCTGCTAAACTGAATATTTTATTTTTGCAGATTTGCAACAAACTCGAGTAATTTTTTCAATTATGCACTTCTACTTTATACTATTTTTGCAATAGTAATTAAAAAAATTAAAAAATCCTATAGAATAAAGGCTATTTTCGAACATGTTATTTTTGCAGATTTATTTTTCGAACATGTTATTTTTGAGTGATCGAAAATCCATTTAGTTACAAATATTAAAATAATATAAACGGACGTATAGGATTTAATCCAAAGGAAACAGTTTTTACATTCAATAAGCATCCGGTTTACTCCTTAAATAAAATACTCATAAAATTAATTTACACCAGAAAAACATTAATCATTTAAATTAATTAAATAATTTCATAAAATACACAATAAAATAATATCCTAAATTTTTTCTTCTTGTCAAAAAAAAATATTGATTATTTTTATCAAAGAAAGTTTTACACTATTATCCTAAAAATTATATAGATTAGAATTTTGGTCCATAATCATGCTTAAAAATTATTTTATTCTTTATATATGTATGCATATGTATATTTTGTGACGTAATATTTTCGAGTAGTTAACAAAATTATAATACATATAAATGTATATGTATATTTTATCAATTATATATAATATGAATGTAAATTTTTTATTATGTGTTTTTAAATTTATTAATGTTATTAATAATTTTGGTTTTCATACAATTTCATGCTTTATATTTTTTGAATTCTGTTTTTATAATCATAATAAGTATGGAATATTTTTTTTATTTTTGTGGCATAAGTACCTATAATATAAGGAATTATTATTTTATATAAATGTGAAAATTCAAATTTTTTTAAAATAAATATAAGTGCTTAAATATGATTGTTGGAAATTTCTTGTTTAGAATAAAATTCAATGTATAATATAGTAATAATTATATTAAAAGAAAGTTTTGTTCATTTGCTGTAACAGTGACAACTCAAAAAATACTATAGTTATACTAAACGATTTCTGAAATATTTATACACAAATAAACACTTAAAACACTTCTCTCTTGAGCAAACACGCAAATAATCTAGCATATCAGTAAGAATATAAATTATTATGAAATAATGCTAATAATGTCTTTGTTCAACATAATACAATATTAATTTTTTTTTTATAAACATTTCTGTGCCCACCTGTGCCTGCATATATAAAAATATAAGATGAAAAAATTAGTTCAGCCTGGTTAAATTAAAAAAAAAAAACCAAGAAATATTAATTATATAAAATTAACAATTTTTATATATTTTTTTATATATTGCAATAAGGAGACATTTCAATTCCTTCGTTTATCAAAGTACTCTTAAAAAAACAACTTTTGTCAAAAGCAATTTCATAATTCCTTTTTCAGTGTATAATGAATTATTCCTTAAAGTAAGGTTAAAGTTGAACTAAATTATATTTTATTATTTAATTTTATTAGAAAATTAAATTTCTTTAGATGCATATTTAAATTAGTTAAAATATTTTTATTTTGTTGAAGTGATCATATAATTATCACCCACATTCTGTTAGTTGCATCACTTCAAGTAATGCCCCATTATTATTGAAAAGTATTCTGGTTTTCAGCATAGAATTGATGTTAATCTGATAATCTCAAAATTTTTTAATAACAAATCCCATCACCTAAAGTGATACGACTACCATAGTGTGGGGGGAATATTTAATTATTTTATTATTATTTCATGATCTTCATTGAATATATGTAAATGTTTTAAATGAAAATTTTAAGAAGAAAAAATTGATTTATGAAATTGTTATTTCCTCGGGTAAATTTTTTTGAATTTTTAATTTTCCTAAATTTATTTATTTATTTTTGTAAAATAAAGATTATTTAAATAATTGCAGTATTAAAGTGTTTGTTTTTATGCAATGATATTAGTATAATTGAAATTTATAACAATAGATAATTTAATAGATACATAGTTAATTTTTTCTATAGATTTTTAATTTTTTACAAAATTAATCAAATTACAATTTTGAAAGGAAGGTAAATGAAAATCTGTGGCAATATAACAATATAAAGATACGAGTAGTTTTTTTTTGGTTTTTAATTTGGGATAATTTTTAATTAGCTAGTGCTCTTTTGTTTTTGTATATATATCGATATTTTTATAAATATAATATTTACATTTAATTATTGTAATTTTTATACGTATACATACTACATTATATACGTAAATGGATACTTTTATAGAAATAAGTACATTTGTTTGTTTTGTTTTTTTTTTTTATACAACGAATAAAAGCTCTTTGTATATACATAATTATATATATATAATTTTATTATAAATTTTTATTTATACATATTTTAAATTTTAGTTTTTTTTTTTTGCTATTTTTGCGCTATTTTTGTAATTTTATTTATATAGGGTATAATATTATTAGTAAGTACTAGTTTTCAAAAAAGGTTTATTTTGTAATTCATAATTTTTGTTGTATAAATATGTATGTTGTATGTATGTATGTTCTGTAAGAATTTTTCAAATTAGTAATTCGTATATTGTTGTAGTTTAGTATAATTATAGTTAAGTATTTTTGACTTTATATTTTATTACTTTTTGATCTACACATTATTTTTGTCATTTTTGCTATTGTACATTGTTTCTGTTTTGGATTTATTTATTTCTATATTTTTACTATTTTAATTTATTTATTTTTTTTTTTTAATTATATGTATGTAGTTGAGTGTATACGACTATTGATATTTGCATTTTTTTATATAATATGTATTTATTTTTTTTATTTTAATAAAATTTATTTTTATTTTTATTTTAATTTTTTTTAAGGAAATTAATTAAAATTTATTTTAATCAACAAAAATGTTTTTTGCTATTGCATAGAAAATTTTAGTTTTAAATTTTTAACGTTTTCTGTGATTTTCATTGTATATGCAATACTTATAATACGGGTATGCAAATATACAAATAAAATATGTAGTTAAATATTACAGTTAATTGCAGTAGTTACACGGAAGTTTTACGGAATTATGAACGCGACTATAAAGTAAAAATACTTCACGGGTCCTAGAATTTTAAGATAATATAGGTAAATATATATGCACATACATATAAATGTTGAAAGAATTTTATTTAAATCGGCAAATCTGTGTATTTATTCACAAACAACTTTGGTATTGTAGAAAAAAATATGAGAATCTTCTTAAATACTGGAGAAGGAAAGTAAAATTTTTCAGTAATATTTATATTTTAATAAAAAACGAAATTAATTCGGGATAATTTAATCTTATAACTCTAAATATACATAAATCTATGTTAAGATCCGTACTTAAATGTACATACATAAATAATGTTTCGGGGCGAATGTGCTCTTTGTTTTCACTAAAGTTTTTATTAACGTATTCAACTTTATTGTAATAGACTCTTTACTCTTTCATTACGTATCTAGTTTTGATATTTTTAAAATAATGTGATATTGCAATTTTTTGAATATATTTTTGTTTTAATAAAAAACTAAGACTTGTCACAAGAAACAAAAATTATGAAATATCAATAAGACTTGATTAATTATAAAAAAAAACCTTATTCTTATTGATAAGCCAAATTCAATAAATTGATTTACAATATATAAAGATCAAATATTAGTTAAAATATTAGTTGAAATATTATTTTGGAATATATTTTGGTTATTGTGTAAAATATATTTCTATAATTAAAAATTTTAATAAACAAACAAGAAACTTTTTTGATAAGCTGGAACCGGAATTTTAAAAATTGCGGGGATATCTTACATTTACTTATGTCATAATTCCGTCGTTTATTTTTAAAATTATTTACATATTTAAAATCATATTTAATCTCATGAAAATCACGTTTCATTTTAATTGTTAAATGACAAAAATTTCTCAAATTTTTAAATTTCCAAATTTGGGCTTTTGGAAATTTCAAATTTTGATAATTTCATTCAATAAACACATAATTTAGTTTTTGTTTAATCATTCAATATATATATATATATATATATATATATATACTCGTAATATGCAATAAGTATGTGCATTTAAATATTTTAAATTATATAGGAAATTTATTTTTATTTTCGATTTTATATTCGTTTCTCATATATTAATAATTATATACTAATTCAATTTTAAATTCAATGTTAAATTTTAGTAAATTTCTTTTTTAATAATTTACATTATTTGTTAATATGTATATTATTGCAAATGTTTATTAAAATTATATTTAAAGAATTTAAAAAACAGAAAAATATGTAATTATAAAAATTATTTATTTGTATGAACTTAAATCAGTAAGAAGTAGTAAATTTGTTAGGAAAATAAGTTTTGTGCCTTAAATAATAACTGGAAAATTTTTTATATAATAAATAATATATTTCTAAAATTTTCATTTTTAACTCAAAATTTTATTTATCTTTGTTTAATATTAATTGTATCCTGTGTGTATAACAATATCATATTATGTACACAGTATACTTTTTACCTGTATTTCTAATTATATTTTATCATCTAACTTGATAATTTGATTATATAAGAGTGAAAATGTATGCTATATATAGTTATGGAAAACTTTAGTTTTAGCATTTGTACATAGTTTATAGTGATATACAGAATATAATTTTTGCAATTACACAAACGAATTACTTTTTTTGAGTAGCGCTATTCTAAATTAAAATTTTTATAGTTATAAGCGCCACACTTAGTTCATTTGTGTAATTGCAAAAAATTGTCTTTCGTATACCATTATAAATTACACTAAACGCTTTTAGTCATAAATAATTAATTTATTATTTGCATGAAAATTAAAATTTTTAAAAATATATTTTATACTTTTCAAAAAATAATTTCGTTTAGGAAAAGAGAACAAAAATTTATTTTTTTAATATACATAATTACTAATTGACCATAATTTTATAATTGATTCAATATATATATATATATATATGTAACTTCTATTAATTGGTCCAATATATAAAATATACAATATTGTAATTAATTAGTTAAATATTCTGTTGTATACTAAATTTTTTTTTGTTTTAAATTTGCAATTTAAATTTTAAATTTAAAAATTAATTTATAAAGTAGGTAATAGGAATGTACGTTATTGTGTAAAAAATTAATTAATTTTTGAAATTATTTTTTTTTTAATTAAATAATTAATAATCCACAAAATAATTAATGATGAGATCAGTTATTCAAATTATATTGCAGTTTATATGTGTGTGTGTATGAATTATTTTCTATTCTTATATTTATTTATTATAATATACATGCTATAATTATTATGATTAAATATATTTACAAGATGTTTTTTTATATATATATGTATTCTTAAATGAAAGAAATTAAAAATATAAAAGCTGGTTTATTTACGTTAATTTTACGTTTTGGTTATTTTTGTTTTGTTTTATATAATATAGTAAAAAGTTTTGTATTTTATATAATATATACGTATACATATATTTATATACATATATATTCACATATTTAAATATTTGTATATCTATTTAAATATATGTATTTAAAATTTACTAAAACAATGTTTTGTATAAACATATTCATATTATTTTTGGTCTAATATCCTATAGAAAACATGATCAATTTTTATTTATTTATATAATATTGTAATATTATAATATATTAATTTTATGTGTCTTATTCAAAAGTTTTTAATTTAATTTATTATGACTTTTTTCATTTTATTTATTTTGTTTTGTTGTGCCACCAATTTTAATTCGAATTTATTTTATGATTTTATTACATTGTGTGTATATATGTATATATGTTTTGTTTTTAAGTTTTATATAATATAGTTAAATGTATTTATTCTGTTATATAATATTATGTTTATTATGTATTGATTATGTTATTTTGCATTTTGTTATTTTTCTTTTTGGTTTGTGTAATATGAATATTTTCTTATTAAATTTTTTCATTTGATTTTATATCAATTTAATTTTTTTTATATCACTTTTAATTATATAAATACATAATAATAATGTTTATATGTTATATTTGTTTAATATTATGTGTTTTTTTGTTTTTTTTCTTCATATATACGCATTTTTTTTTAGGAAAATTGAACACGACTTTAAAATATTTAAAAATAAAAATATTGTAATTTATTTTTTATCATATAATAATTTTTTATTAAATGTTTTTATAATAAAGCTTGTTACTCGACTATCACTTTAAAAATTGTACGAAAAATATGTACCTACATTTTTTTTTTAATTTTTACATTTTTTTTTAATTTTTCTTTTTATTTAAAAAAATAAATTAAAAATTACCGAAATATAAAGTTTGAATATAATATAATTTTACAAATTTTTGTCTTATATTTTTTTTTTTCTTTTTTGGATTTTCTTTTCTTAAGTTTTTATGAAATATAATATGCTAAAAATGCAACTATCAATTAATAATAATTAATAATAATTCAGAATTATAATAATAAACGTAAATAATATTGAAAAATACACATTTTTTTTAAATATAATTTTAATACATTATTTTTATTATATATTTTATTTTTTTTTAGAAAATTTTAAGCTAATTTTATTTATTCAAAGTTAATCATTTTATAATTTATATAATTTATTGTTTACATAAGTACATAATACATACATTTACATTGTATGTATATTTAGATAAAGTATACAAATACGCATACGTTTATAAATTTATTTATTAATACATATTTTGTATATATGTACATGTATACGCTTGTATATATACAAGTATATTTATATTTATTAAACTGATTTTTAAACTGTTTCTATTTCTATTTTTTTTTTATTAATTAATAATTTTATTTTTGGATATAATGTTTGTAATAAGTATTTTTTATTAATTAATTTCTTTACATAATATGACATTTTTCTTTTGTATTACTACTACTGCCTTCTCCGCCATCATTTAAAACTGCTGCACCATTTGTTGCATCTTTATTTTTCTTTGATTTTTTATTTTTACTTTTTTTACCATCTAATTGTAGTGATACATTACGATTTTTTTCAAGGTTCAATAATTCCTGGCAAAAAATATGTTATAGAACAATATAATTTATTTCAATAATATAAAAAATAATAATTATAAAAGGGAAAAATAAAAAACTAAATAGAAGTAAAGACGTTATATTACGTTATAATTTTTCAAGTCTTTGTTTCAACCTTCCATGGTTGAAATAAATTCATGTACATCTGACCTCATAGCTTTAGAATTAGTGGAAATTGATTGTGAAAGATATTGTAATATGAATTTGGGGATTTTCGATAATTCAGTTCTTACAAATGTCTTAAAGTACATTCAATAAACCAAACATACAGTTTCGAAAATGACAGTTTGTGTTTAAAGTTCTAAAGGAATTTTTTTATAACTACTGCAAAAATATTATAAATTAGAAGAAAAGCATAATAAAAAAATGTATATTGCAAAACTAAAATATTCGATTTCTGCAGATTTGTAAGTATGTGTGAAAAGGCTTTAAAAATTTAGTTTAGTTCATCAGTGCATGACAAAATCGCTAAACATTAAAAATTTATAATAGAAAAAAAAATTTAAAATAATAAGTGTAACGAAAGGATAAGAGAAACGATTGTAATTAATTATCAAAATTAATGGACGAAATTTTTTGGGAAACATTCAATTGAAAATAAACAAATGCGAACTTCCGTTTAACTTGTTGAAGTCATTTAAAAATTAAAATTGTATTAACCGACGTAAAATATATATACGATTATATATATGAATATATATTTAAAATAATACCTGAAATAGTTCTGTAACATTATGGTTTGTTTTTGCTGATGTTTCCATAAAATTGACACCCCAACTAGCCGCCTCAGCTTGTCCTTCCTGCAACATTATATCACATGTGAATAAATTGATTTTTTTAAAGAGAATACTTAAAAAAAATTAAATATATATTTACCGTTTGAGTAACTTCTCTTAATTCTGCACTTTCATCGCATTTATTTCCAACAAGCATAACAGGAATTTGTGTTATATCTTGACCTTTTAATTCTTTAATTAAATCCCATATCGGTCGTAATTCCTCTAAACTTTGTTTTGAACATACTGAATATACTAATATAAAAGCATGACCTTTCGATATTGAGAGTCGTTGCATTGCGGGAAATTGATGAGATCCCGTTGTATCTAAATATATATGTAAAATTAATATACATTATATTATTATTTTATGTAAAAAAATCTCACCTGTGATTTGTAACGTACATATATTTTTATTACAGCTTATTACCTTAAAAAATTATGTTAGTATGAATAAAAGTTAATTTTATAATAAAATAACATATAACTTATAAAGGATAACAAACAACTACATTACCATAAATAATTTTCTAAAGTAAATATAAGGTTCAAAGGTAAGTGATTTACAGTTTAATTTATTTAATTTTAGAAAATCGTTTAATGAAATTGCCTTTATTTTACCCTATCACAAGGAGTAAATCAAAATTATGTGTTATATTAAAAAACTCACGTTATAAAATGGGGTAAAAAAATTGCATATGGCACGGAGTAATCTATTTTAATTTAAATATATATATGTATTTTACACTAGGTGCCTATAAATAGATGATAATTCTATCACATTTCGTTTTTTTTTAAATGGTTTAAAAATAGTATCGTTCAATATAACAATTATATATGGGTAATTGATTTTCATTTGATTACGGTTATCAAAGTGACACAATACTGTTATACCGATATTGAGTTACATAACAACAATAATATACAGAAAGCGTTAACCTATCCCACGATACCGTAAATAAAAAATGTGCGTATATATAAATTTACAAGAAAAAAAGAGGCACATAATTTTAATCGCATGGGAATAATGTATTTTATATTGCCAGAACTGATAAAGTTTTATTCATTTCACTCTTCCTTAATTTAAAAATTATTGAATAATTTAAAATTATATTTACCTGCCGATATGTATCTTCTATAGTTGGAATATAACTTTCTCTAAAAGTTCCTTTAACGAATCTTAAAACCTGAAAATAAACAGATATAACAAGAAAAAAAGAATAAGAACAAGAATAACAAAAAAAAAGTAAATAAAGTGTGTATTGTACATACATGCGAAAATTTCATTTATGATTGAAAAAATTTATTTTTAACTCAGGATTATATTTTTGGAAAAATAAGTTTTTTTCTGTTAATTTCATCATTAATTTTTTGTAAAGTTTTCTACATTTTCAAAAGGTTTTAACATAAAAATAAATATGAGTTAATTATTTTGAGTTTTGAATACATGATATTATTGATAAGAGATTTTATGATTTGTGAAAAGAATTTTAGCATTTTATCAGAGAGTCAAGGGGAAAACAGCAAAGGTAGGCAAATTTATTTTACTAAAAATTACACAAAAAAAATTATAAAAAAGTTTATAAATGAGATTTTGTTATTTACCAGTGAACTTTTTCCTACACCACCTGCACCAAACACCACAACTAAAACAAGTAAAAAAAATAATTATATTTTAATAACTTAGAAGAGTATTATTTTATGTATAAACAAATGTATTAAATATATATATACAAATAATATAAATATATATATATATATATATATATACATATATATATATATATATATATATATATATACAAAAATTAGAATATATATATTGTGTGGGAGCTACAATACCGTTTATTTCTACTTTACACATTCTTAAAACTAAACAGTTTGCCGTTCTTAATAAGACTAATCCTAAAAATATTCTTTATTTTGTTACTTACCTCGATAATCATTACTTTGCTCAGGCATTTTCTACTTCTTTTAGTTTTTTTTTTTTTTTTTTTTTTTCTATATAAAATAACTCACTCTCAACCGCAATACACTAACTCTAAACAAACAAACAAAATATTTCAATTTGTATTTAGGATACGAAATTTACTGATTTAATTATTATTTTTATATTGTTATTTAAATATTAAGTTCTTTTTTTTGCATTTAAATTCGTTGTTAATTAAATTTTATAAAGAAAGAAATCACGAAAATTGAAAGATAAACACGTAGGAGTGCCTAAATGTAGGCTATATCAAATTGATATATTTTCGTTGTAAAACATATAGTTTTTATATTGAAAATATTAAACATTTTGTTATAATAAAACTATTTAACAAATTTTTAATTAATTTACCACTTAGTTTCAAATACTTATCTATTTAAATTGAATAAAAAAACACAAATAACTTATTTAACAATGATAGGAGGAAAAATTTTTCAATATTTTAGTTTTCATTTTTTCTCTTTTTTTGTTTTTTCCTGATCACTGTCAAATGCCAAAAAATGGCAGTTAGTTTTTGACAGCATGGAAACTGATTATAACATTTTGTGTCCAGATGCCATAACATTTAATTCCCTATTCACAATTTTATATTGAATTATACTTTAAGTTGATTAGATACAGAATGAAAAAATTATTACGAAAGAGTTGCAAATAGAATTCAATTTTATTGCATACATATACGAAGTATTTATTCAACTAAATATTTAAGCTTAATTTTAACTTACCTCAATAATTTTAATATGAGCGAACGCTGAAAAATATGTACTTGAATATATAACACAAATTTTTTTTCTTAATTTTGGTGCCAATACTTTCGCACAAAAGTCTGTCCAAATATGAATTTACAATTCTAACGGTCCTGTGTTGAAGCTTAAAAAATATTTCTTGAATAAAACTATTTAAATAAATATTAAAATTAAAAGTATATTTTTTGAATTTTTGTATATGTAAATGTCAATCATGTGTGTATAACAATGAATAGATGTTGCCAAGGGATGTGATTCCGATATACATATTTTTAAAAATTAGTGATTAAAAATATTGAATAAAAATAAAGTTTCTGTTCTTTAATTTTATACAATGGTTTAATTGTTGTGCAAATATAATGTGGAAACGAGTTATTTTTCAAGTGTGAAGACAAGGCCGTACGTTTCTCTTATGAGTGTTCATTGCCTCGTCTGAAAGTGCAGAGCTTATAATTCTTTTATATTTGTTTATTCCATTTCAAAATTTTAAATGAAATTTTACGTCACTTTTTTTAAAATGACATATATCATTTCGAATAAAATGACATATGTTTTTGACAATCGATTATTTTAGTAAAATGTGTGAAGGTTTGAAGTGGGTCTAGTAGAATAGATTTCTTAAAAAAAATATATGAACGAAATGCGAATCTTTATTTTAATGAAAGTTTTAATGAAAACTTTTTTACGTTTTTTAAATTCGTTTTTCTCTTGGCTGTAAGTATTCTAGTAGAACCTAAATTTTGGAACACAGCTGTTTTTGGATGAAAAACATTTTTGGAACAGCCAGCCTAGGAATAATACATCTATTGTTTCAATTTAATCTATATGTCAAATGTCGTAAAGATTTTCAATTGAAATATAGATGTCAAATGTCGTAAAGTTTACAAACGAATAAAATATTCTGTTAGAAGTGGAAGTTGTTTTGTAGATGCTTTACAATGTATGGATATAATTAAAAAAATATTGAAAATATAAAGATAAAATATGGGCTGCAAGGAGAAGAATATTGAATTTTTATTTAAAGATAGAAAAAAGTATATGTATATTATTTGAGTAGTATGTTTTACTATGAGGAAACTACGTGCATACTACATACATAAGTATGTATAATTATTTATATACGTAATAGGTACATGTATAGGCTCTTTTCGAATACTAGTAAGTATTTTGTATTAAAATCATATTTTTTTTACAAAGTTGAAAATTTGTGATGAATTTGTAGGAATTATTCAATTTGGAATTATATAGTTGAATATGGAATCTTAAATAAACGAAATTCATTGAATTTCTTGTGCAAATCAACATTTGCAACCAGCTGTGAAAAATATGAAATAATGGCAGAAAAATGTTTTCTTAGGAGTTGGAGTTGTTAGGATCCCAACTTTCAGGAATTATTCATATGACGTTTCATATATTAAACCTAAGGTACGATGAGTTTTTATAAACTGGTTAAAGTAAAATTTATAACATTTTCGTTAACATTTTATTTAAGGCTTTTATGGGAACAGTAATCGAAATAAAATTTGTCAGATCGAAACATAAATTAAAATGCTTGCAGTTGCAAGCTGAGTTACGTTTTTTGAAACTTGTTTCCTGGAGTTTATATTTTCATACTGGGCTACGTTATGTACAAATGCACAATTTAATTAGCTTTACATAAGAATAAAATATATGAAATATGAAAAACTGCAATTAAGTAAAAGTGAGTCGCGTACACTTAGCCCAGGTTTGAGAAAACTACACGAAAAATGCCCAATATGCATTAGAAAAACAGCTCTCACGGCACTAAAGTACACCTTCCAAGACAAACGACCTCTTTCAAAAATATGGCTACTTTCATAAAAAAAAAAAGCAACATTAATAAAAAAAAATTCCAATAGGCGACTCAATAAATTAAAGTATATTGGCCACAGACAAAGGTATACATTCATATATTATGCTAAGAATATTTTGGCCACAGACAAATACATATATAATTTATTTTATAAGAAATTACGATTAACTCGTTATTCTCTACTCAAATCTGAATCGAAGGGTTCTAGAAAATATACTTCTGTGTTCCGAGAAAATTAATTCAAATTTTGCGATTTCTACGTGATTGGACGAGAGACTTTTTTTCAGTATTTTAGAAGACGAAAAAAAAAATAAAATTTAGTACAATTTTTAAATTCTTGAATCTCTTAAATTGAAATGGGAACGGGAAAATTCTTGTGTGTCATAGTTTAACATTTTGTACGATTCTTGAGATTAAAGGCTTTTTTTAAAAATATGTATGTAATATACCTATATGTATATGTACATAATGTGAACTACAGCCATTAAGGCTTTATTTATCTAAATAAGCTTTCTTTTCCACTATCAATCGACTACTACAGAATTCTCGTTGTGAAGAAGAGAAAACTATTTTGGAAAAAGCAATTAAAAACAATTTTTTGATTGCCAATCGTTTGATTAATCTTTCATATTGAATTTGTAACTAGTATATTTGGTTATTCTTTATTAATTTTGAGCAAGCACATGTGTCCATTCTTGTATCTTTCAAAGAAAACTACATTTTTATTTATGCATTTACAATACCTATTTAAGTTTACTTTTTGTTTTATGGATTTAATCGAAAACAAATGTATACGTATTCCTGTATGCTTATACTCTAGTAACTTAGTACAGTGAACTCATTTTATAATTAAAGATTTTTTTTTGTAAACTGAAATAATGCAAAATTTATGTGCATATGTATGTGTGTATTTTAATAAATTAATAATGTCTGTTATTTTTTATTCCTTTTATTATTAGGAATAGAAATAAAATTTTTAAAAATACATTGATCTTTAATTTTTGGCAGGTGAAACTATTTTCATCAAGATTAATATTTTTGAAAGTGATGGCAGATTTCTTATTATGATTGCTTAAATAACAACGGCTAAAGGACTTTTTTATTTTTTTTAAATTTCTTAAGTTTCTTTTTGAGGGTGATAATTCAGTTAGTTAATAGTATTTAGCAAAATTTTTGTTTTAACGCCTTGTATACATCTTGCTTTGAAATTTTATGCAGTTGTTTGTGTTAGATATTTTAATTAATGAGTTAGATGCATTAAACTTTAATTTATGCTATAGCGCTATATAAATTATGTACATACATATGTAATGTACATACTCGTATTTTCAAACCTCTTATAGTATATTGTTTTATTAAACACACTACATATATATAAGAACATACATACATACAAATCTGCATGAATATGTATTCAATTATATTATAAAAAATATTAAAATTTTCTGTTTTTGCCATTTGTAAAGAATATTTTTATTTGAACTATCTAAAGGTGTAGAAATAGAATTGATGAAATTTAGTTAAGAGATATTCAGTAAACATAAATCTTGATGTTATAGTATTAAGTAAGCTCTTTGCATTAGTTGTAAGTTCAAGATTGTTACTTTATAATATGTTCCTGTAATATTCAAGTTCTTTACTAAAACAATTACTGTAATAGTTTATTGCATTTCTTAATTTATATTTTGAGCTATTGTTGAAACTCTTTTTCCGAAATTACCTTTATTTATAATTTTGTATTGGCTACATTCAGTATGCGCCCGCTTACATGTGTAAATTATATTGGCTCAATTACGTTTGCGGTCACTATTATGTTACCGGGATTGTATGAAAATATTTTTCTTTTAAAAACAATTTATTGTTGAAAGTTGTCAAATAATGTTTTATCAGACAAGTTTAAATTTATACTTACATATACTCTTATATAAAGTTATATTTAAAAAATATTTGTAAAAGGATCTTGTAATTGTTGGAATCTTTAAAGAAATATATAAAAAAGTTTTACAAAACTATAAGTACTTATTTTTATTATACTTATGAAAAATACGTATAAATAATGTGTAATTTTAATAGGTAAACCGGAAAATATCGCCGTGCCAAATTTGAAGACATTTCCAAATGCTTATGAGTTCTTTACGAATATGGTTAATTAGTGGTAACTTTTAGTGCAATGAAGATTTTAATTGTTAAATAGGCTATGTATATAATATGTTCATATATAAGTTCGGCATATATTCCATAAGGCTTTTGTTCCAGTTTTTTAAATTGAATATTGTAAGTAAACCTTATTAAAGAATAAACTTATAATATTCATTCAATAGTTTTTCGTAAGCACATAATTTATTTATGGTTACTAATGTATTTTACTTTGTAAGTGTGTACATATACGTACGTGTATACACTGTGTACATACCCATAGTGGAAAAATAAATGAAATATTCTGGATCGATCATATTCTGTTGTAAAAATTAGTAGCAATTTATACATACATACATGTGTTCTAATTATATAAAATTAAAAAAAAAAAATTTTTTAAATCATAAAGTATAGAAGTAACAATTACATGTTATAAATTTTCTTCTCTCAACAAAAAAAAAATTTCAAAATACTAACATAATGTAGGTACGTATAGGTACATAGTATGCATTAAATTACTGGTATACCCTTTACTTACAGCATGCTACTTTAAGTAAATAAATTGAAGCAATAATATAAACGTTTATTTCATTTATGCCTTATTATATATAAATAAGTAGGAATGTATACGCGAATGCATAATCAAAATTTAATAATAAAGTGATTGGTGGCGCCTAATTATAAATTTAAAAATGAATTTTGTTTATATTATAATTTATATTATTATATTATATGTGTATATTATCTGTATATAAATATCTTAATCTTTTTTTTGAATAAATTTGTACAAATTTCATTTTATCTTTCAATTCAAAAACGGAATTACATATTATATTTTTTCAAAGTTTTTAAATTAAAAGACTAATATTGCCTGATATACCACGTACACATGTATGTAAATTTTTATAATATGGTAATTTTTTTGGCTCCACTGAATTAAATAATATTTATATTGGGTAACAATAATAAAATACAAATATCAACAATAATAAGTAGGGATAATTTTAATATTTGTTTTGTTTCTTCAATTTAAAGTAATATTTTTAAAAGTTTGAAAAAAAAAAGAATTTTTTAAATAACATTGCAGTTGGTACTTTACATTAATATGAGCTAATTGTATAATATTTATTCTTCCATAAGTTATATTATTGTGTAAATATTTAATATAGAAACATATTAAAAAGAATTGTAGACTCATTTGTCTACTATTTGTATAACTATATGCGTCTATATTATAAATATAAAATTTATGTTTAATATTATGTATATTTTCTATTTTCTTATAACGCAGCCTTATGATAGAAGTGTTTTAAATAAAAAATATGATATTTTCAATTATACATGCCCATTCAAAATTTTATAACATTGCTGAAAACCGTTTCGAGTTTTGGAAATATCTTGTGTAGAATTCGATTTCTTTTTGAATGGCGAGATTCCTACAGATTTTATAGATTAGATATGTAACACAAAAATTAAAAAAAAAATTTAAAGAAGAATAACAAAATTTATAACAGGATTTTTTAATACTTTTAAGGTCAAGTTAGTACATTGTATATAACCTAAATTTCGATTAGGTTATTAAACATTAAACCCTCGGAGCTTTTATTACCCTTATAACATTTGAATTTTTGTATGATCGATTATTTTGGTCATTGCTTCATATTCTAAGACTATATTTCAGAAACAAAACAAATAAAAGTTTTCAAAAATGTTAACATTTTAAATAAATGGTTATATCTTTTAAAGTGGAGCAAAAAATGAATGAATTGTTTCACGAAAAGTAAGAAATAAATTAGTATTGGGTGTTAAAACTTATAAAACATTAATTATATAACATAAAATTAAAACATTATATAACATTAATTTAAAATTTTTAGTATAATGGTATATTAAGCGCATAAAACTGCACAATATCGGGGCGGCGTATGGAACACCTGTCATAATTTTTCTATGTTTTCGTGATGCTATTGTGTAATTGTTTAGGTAGTTCATGGATAAGGTGCTAATAGTTTAAATCATTCAAAAGAAATGAGTTAAAATTTATATAACAAAATTTTGTTATGTAGTTTTTAATGATGACGATGATATTGTAATACATATACATATTATGTCTTATAGGTCTTTTTTAATAATTAATATATGTACATACATACTATATGCATATTCAATTGATTTACATTGTTTCGGCTCTTTTAGCATTCAATCAAACTAAAGATTAAACCAAAAAATCAATTTCGTATACAGAACCGAATTGGAAATGAAAGCAATAAAGAAAATATATATTTATGTAAATTTGAAGAAAAATGTTGTATAATATATTGATTGTCCTCTTTATATTACATTAATATTATTTTAAAATGCCATCAATGTTGAATACAATTTTTTACATTGCTATATACATATGTTTGTAAAAACAACAGCAATTCCCTTCCTTATTATTTTTTCTTTTTAATTCCTTCTTGGATTGGAGCACACAGTTCAATTTCATAAAATTTTTAAAATCAGATAATTTCAATACTCGTAGTAGTGAATCTTTAAAACTGTAGTGATATTGTTTTTTTGTAGCTTAGTTTTTACATTTTGATTGTCTTATTTCTTTCACAATATCAGTTATATATAAATATATAAAATGATACAATAAAGCAAATATATACATATTTCAAAGTGAATGTTTATACTAAAGTTTCATATTGTATAAAAACATAAATATGTGGGTATACACGTGATTATACTGTAACAGCAACAAGTATTATTGTGAATCTATGCATTAATATATCTATAGTGGGTTGAGTTCATTTGTTTGCTCAAAGGAGTATCTTGGTGGCGGCTTCCGAATCATTTACAAAGGAGAACTAGAAATTGTATACAACTTCAGCAGCATTAATTATATCATTATCCTTCATCTTGCGATTTATCTTTTATTTTTGTTTTTTTTTTCTTTTTGTTGTAAAATTTTTTCCTTTTTTCTCCTGCTTGCATTATTGAAGGTATGAAAAGTACAAATAAAAGCCAAAAAAGTCAACTTTATATAACAAAAAAAAATAAAAAAGAAATAAAAATGTTATAATCAAATTGTTTTAGGATGTAAATTTTTATATTAACGTATGTATATACTGGGGTAACTGCAAAGGGAGTGAAAATTTTTTCATAAAAATAAATGGAACATTTATGGGGAAACAAACAAATAATGAAATATGCAAAGTCAAAGAAGTTAAAAGAGCAATGAAGTTAATTTGTCAAATTATATTTGGAATAACAAATTATTAATTAGTTATTAGAAAAAGGATCTTCTATAATGCACTCCAAGAGTCGAATATGCACGTTTTAATCCATGATATGATGCATTATAAAACGATATTAAAAGGGGATCTAAAAATTTAAATCGATTATGTTTTAACAGAATCACATCGAAGGTTCATTTGATAACATTGTAAATTTAGTTTTTGTCCCTTAAATCAATTCAACCACACATTTTACATTACCTTAGATCAAATCTTAAAATAATTCACCTATCACACATTATACTAATAAATTATAAACTTTTATAACTTTAATTATTATATTTTTCTTAGCAAATTGAATTTTATATCTGTTAACAGATTGAACTATGCAGAATTCAGTATGATGGAGTTTATTCTGAACAACGAGTCACTAAGTGATAGTGATGTTTATTGTAAAAGTCTCAAAAACTTTATTATAAATACGAATTATTTGTATGAATTGGTTTGTGTTTATAATAATACATTATATCAAAGTTGAATATGATTCGATACTCTACAATTTTTCAAATTTTTATTGGAAATTTAAATTTCTCCACGCCCCCTCATAAACACTCATATCTGGAAAAATGGAGCATATTACACATTATAAGACAGTTTTTAATGTTTTTCAATGTAAGACAGAATGAACTTTCGATTAAAAATTTTCAATAGTAAAATGTAATATATGAGTTTTAAATTGAAATGGTTAAAATTAATTTGAAATATGAAAATCAAATTAAAGTCTCAAATTATATAAGTTTTAAAAAGTTTCAATTATGTAGTTCAATTCGAAGTCAATAAAAAAACTATCTAACCAATTTTGGTATGTATTTGTGTTCCTTGATTTTTATGTACATACTGCAAACGTAGTTATTAGTATGTAGGAACATTTACGTATAGGAATAAACATAAAAATGAACTTAAAACCAATGAGTTCTAGCTAAAACAAAAAAGTTGAAAAAAGAACCTTATTATAAAATCAGAAATTACCATTTACATTAGACCGAAACGATTGACTTAAATAAAAAGTATATTTAGTTTCTTATATAGATTTGAGAATGATGATAGTCATTTACAAGATTAGACTTCACATGCAATTTCCAATGTTATTTTAGTGTATTATTTTTTTTCTTTTTTCTTTAATATAAACACAATGCTTATACATAGACGTATTTTTATATAAAAATATGTATGTATTATGATGAGTTTTAATTGAGATTGCGGAAGATGTAAAAGATTGTCGTCGTTGTCCTTGCCATTTTAATATGTGGATCAATTTATTTGCAAAATACTTTGTTTTTTTTGCATTACTTTTGCATTACATTTTCTTTTGGTTTTTACAAATTTTTGTGCATACATACATATGTATACATTGTTGCTGACTGTATGTATAAGAAAGTTTTATTGAAAATATTAAGAAACGCAAATTTCAAGTTCTTGTTTTGTAAAATTTTAAATCGGTAAGGAAGAACAAAAAAATTGTACATATGTACGAGTACATACATTTTCTTTGGTGTTCTTTTTTCTTTTAAAATATTACTGCCATTTGATATCTCTAATTTTGATCATTAGTTAAATTAAAATTTATCAAAAGAGAAAAATGCCGGCAATTTGACTTTGAAAAATAATATTAAAAACAAGTAAAAACGTTTCAGTCGGTATAAACCGATTGAATTATACCCTGCACCTTTCGTTATTGTGTAGCAATTACTCGAACCTGTAAAATCATTCTATAGAAACTTCACGGATATGTCTGACCTATAATTGGACATCCGACTGCCAAGTTTCATGAATCTGACTTTATTATTTTTCCAAATATTTAAAATTTGCTTCTGGAGTTGTATGGCAGGTACCCGAACCTGTCAAGCAATTTCTCTAAAACTTCAGAAATATATTTGACCTATAATTGGACACATGACTGCCAAGTTTCATGAATCTGACTTTATTATTTTACCGAATATAAAAAATTTGCTGTTGGAGTAGTATGGCAGCCACCCGAACCGGGGCAGCTATCCCATTATAATTTTTAGACCATAAGTAGAATATAATTGGACACATGTATACAAAATTTTATATTTATAGCTTTATTAGTTTTTGAAATATTTAAAATAAACTCTTGGAGTTGTATGGCAGCTACCCGAACCCGTTGTCCGAATTAGTCCAATAACAATAGGGTTCGTCCTTTTCACAAAAGAAAAAACTTGTGAAAGTTTGGTGTCGATTGCATTATTCGTTTTTGAGTTATCGTGCGATCGGACGGACGGACGGACGAACATGTCTAAATCGACGCAGAATTTTACGCTGAGCAAGAATATATATATATGTCCATACCGCAGATGACTCCTTCAAGTAGTTACAAACTCCATACCAAAGTTAATATACCCTTCACGAAGTGCAGGGTATAATAAAACAAAAATAATATTTTCGTTGTGTACACTTTGAATCATAGGGTTGAGGTATGACTGACTTGTAAATAAATTTTTAAGATCATATTGTAACAAATAACCATTAACAAGAATATAAAGGTAAAAAAACATATAGTAATGAGGAAATTTGATTGAAACAGACTGTAGATTGTCGGTAAACAAATTTTCCATCATTGAAACATGAAACAGAAAAAAATAATTTTTAATCCTTACAAATATTTAATGATGTCGGGATGTTTTAAAAAGAGATTTCTTTTCTTTATTTTTATAAGAATTGGAATATTGAATAATTGACAAATGTAAATAGAAACCGAGTATACACAAAATTAATTGTAACTCAAAATAATTATTCGGATCCAATTTATGAATTCCAATATAGTTTTATAGATTTCAGTTAAATAAAATTTATTTTATGAATTATTGGTGGTCTGCTGAACGCAAAAAAAAAAAATTTTTTGATTTTAATTGTAAATGCAATATCAATAAATTTAATATTTAAATCGATTTTCACATATATGTATGTAGGTTTCTAAATATTGTAGCTGTCAGGATACTATACAGATAAGCAAGAGGGGCTTGTAATTTAAATGAATGTTAAAATATTTTGTTAAACCTTATAATAACAACCCTTTGGAGAAATCGGATTTCCGATCTCTATGCTAAATGCCGAAATGCTAAAAAAAACGGATTTTAAAAAACAATTCAAATTATATTTTACTTTTGAACATTTATTTAGAAAAAAAAAATATAACAAAAACAATTGATCCTAATTTAATAACTAATTTTAACAAAGTTAATTAACCTCTTATATATATATATTTATATACATATATATATATATATGCATATAATATATGTATATCACATATACTAATAAACATATGTGTAAAAATCACATATACATTCATTATTCTAAATTAAACATATCAGAAAAAAATATTAGTAAATTATTTTTAGAATAATTAATAATTTACCAACCATGTTTTTCTTTTTGAAGGACATGTTTATAAATTGTATATGGAACTGGATAAGGTTTTGGTACTGGAATTTCAATTTTTTTAACAACTTCAACTGGATATGGTTTTTCAATTTCAACTGGATATGGTTTTTCAACTGTTATTGGAATTTTCTTTTCAATAATTTCTGGTACTACTTTATAAACTGGAACTTCTACTTTTTCTTCAACTGGGACATGAACCTGAAATTCGTAATTAATATGTAATTATATAACATATAGAATTTAATAATATAAAGTAAGTATAATAATTAAAATCTGAAATTTTGTATAAATTATTAAATATCTAATTGAATTAATATATGTATACTTACAGCATACGGATGTGGAATAGTGATTTTATAATAATTTGGTACAGCAACTGGCACAGGATGTGGAATTGGTAAACCAACTTTCTCATAAACTGGTACAGGATATGGTTTTGAAACTTCACTATGTGTTGTTTCAACTTTATGTTCCAATTCTATTTTTGAAGCTAAAGTTGATGTAGTTGCTAATAAGAAAATTGGAATCATATATTTCTGAAATGATATAAAATTATTTTAAAAATAATATAATTATTAAATTTAATTTATAATTATATATTATTAAAAATTTAACTTACAATTATATGCATTTTTGCTATTTATATATAGAAGCTTCCTTATTATTTTAATAAAATATCCCAAAAATTTTGAATAATACTGTACAAAATATGTGTATATATATAATGTACCTGGAAATAATTTAAATTTTATTATTTGATTGTTATATAACAAAAATTTAGATTTATAATATTAAACTTCTTTTTTTAAATTATATTTTAAAATTTACTTTTATTTGTAATATTTTTTTAATCCCGGTTAAAACAGTTGAAATTCACCAAATCTAGAGCAAAGTAATAACTTTTACACTTTGATTTCGGAAGTTGAATGAAGTATTGAGGAAAATATTAATCGTATTTATATCAAAGCGTATATGAAATTGAACTTATTTTTGAACAATAAATAGGGTAAAGAGTAAAATTTTTAAGTAAACTAAAGTAACTATTATTGCTACCGGTATGATGCAATGAATCTGAAAGGCACTTTTCATTTCATTTTAATTTCTTTTAATTTTTTTTTTTCTTTTTTTCCTTCTTTATACTTTTATCCAATTTCTTATATACTGTATCGTTGGCACTATTGTTTTTTTGTTGTTTCTCATATCGGATAAAGTATTTTGTAGCTAAGTTTTGTATATTGTGTATTTAAAAAAAGGGAAGCCAGTGCCAGTCACTTTAAATATAACTTTAGTTAAAATTGCACAAAAAGAAAAAAATACAATAAAAGTGAAAGATTTTTTTTTGTTGTGTTATTTTTTAAGCGATCGTAATATAACATAACAATAATATGAAAAGCAAGTTTATACCAACGAAAAGAAACCGTATAACCTAAAAGTAATCAAAAGTTTTAAGGTGGAATGTTGCAATAAAATATGCTATACAAGCAATATGATACAATTTTTTAATTTATGAAAACTTAAAATAAAAAGAAAAGGCAATGATGGGTTAAGATCAAGGTAAAATATTTCGCGTTCAATGATTAGATCTGAATTACCGAAGTAAGTAATTATTACTACGTTGAATATTGAATTAAGAGTACGATGATACAAAATTATTTACTAATGTAGTTTTTTTTCCAAAATTTTAATAAAAATTTTAATAAAAATTTAATGTTTTCGAAGCAAAGTTTCCTAGTCACTCTAATTTTAATTGAGTTTTCGAAATACATAGTGGAATTATTTTCCTGAACACTGGAAAAAATATTGTTTTTTTTTAAATTTTATCAAATTGATTTGAAGGCAGTATTAATGGAGCATAAAATTTGGTAATGAGAATCATGATTAAGAACTTTAACAATTGTTAAAATTAATTAATTGGCGCACAATAAATCTTTTAGGTCTCGATGCGACATCGTCCCAATCTACAATCTACAATGTAAGTTTATTCATTCTACTAATTTTTTAACCAGTATTCACCTAGTTTTTTGATTAAACTTTCTGTGTTAAAACTTAACTTGCATTAATTCATAAACATAACAGCAGTCCTTTTTAAAACACTCCTGGTATAACAGCAGTAGAATGAATATTGTATGAATACAATGGTTTTTGTGACACCTATTCAGCTCTTATAACTATTACATAATATTATATTTATAAAAATTAACGGAAATCAAATAAATAAAATAAATGGTCAAAAATATTTATAAATTTTCATTCTTCATTGTTAAAATTTATTGACAATAATTGTTAATATTGAGAAAAAGATTTCCCTTTTATGATAGTAAATTAAATACAGTGAAGGTTATTTTTAAATAGTTAACGTTTTTTGGGTTGCTTTAATGTCGGAAATATTGGACTAAATTTTGTAATTTTAATTATTTATGATACTAGAATGGTGTTCATATAAGGTATATAATAATTAAAAAAGGGAGTTTATAATTTGATTTCATCCAAAATTTTTCATCGTTCACGAAAAAATAATGAAATATTGAATTTCGTTTTGGAATCTGAGATTAATTTCAGTTGAAATTCAATTAAGTGAAAATTATTTAAAATATTTAATATTTTAATATAAGATCAAGTTTAGGAGAATCTAGGAAAAGTCTAAAATTGTTTAATACATTTTAAATTATTTGAAAATAAGATTGGAAAATTGAATTATTTGGGAATAGTATGGCTTAAACTTCTAGACTTGGTCAATTGGAATTGTACCAAGGTTTGCTAAGGTAATGCTACCTTATAATAAAAATGTTGATTATTTTAAACTTACTGAACGATAATAAAATACCCAAATTGAAGTCAAAATTTTAGTTCATTCGGATTTTGTTTGATTTTGGGTATATTTCCGGAAAAATTGCTGTCATAAAATAATTAATAATCGTAAATATACAGAAAAATAAAAATTGAAACAATAAAAACTTATAACTTTTTAACTTATTTTTCTGGAATATTCTTAATTGAAACTTAAATCTAATTAACATTCGAAATGCTTAACAATTTTTTGATTTACAGTCATTCATAATGTGAGCTCTATTTTAACAACTATTCATATTACACATCTGTTAAAATACTTCAAATGATTTTATACTTTTAACGAAAAATTTTTCTCTGTGAAACATTACAACTTAATTAACTGAACCACAAAACTGATCTTGACCATCTGACATAATACACCTTCACTTCACTTATAGCAAAATAAGTGCATAACCAAATAAAAATTTTATTTTTAAATCGCTAATAAAAATTTAAAATTATACGGTACGGTTTTATAAATGAAAAAGTCTCTTTCTTTTTTCTTAAGTCAAGAAAATTGCAGTTAAAATACCTTTTCTTTCATATACATACATATATACATTCATAGGAAGAGCTTTACTAATCAGGTTCAGATTTATATTAAATATATCAGAGAGATGATGATATATAAAATGTAAGTGAATTTGTTGAAAATATTATTGACGGAAGTGTTAGGTGTACTGACTGCGTTTTACTATAAGGTTGTAAAAGAAAATCTATAAAAACAATTTTAATTGAATAAAATTCAATAAGAAGATTATTTAGTGCTAAAATTACAGCACAATTTGATGAAGAAATGAAAAAGAGAACTGAGAGGACCAGATTATTTTATTGTTGTAATATAAGTATACAAAGAGAATTTAATTAATGTACTTATATACTTTGATATTTTTAACGTGATAAATAAGGGGAGCACAAAATTTAAGTAATATTGACAGTCATTATTATACTCTGATTGATAATTGAAATTGGTAAGATGTAATAAGCTTGTTGCAGTTCTCTTGCGCCTTTTTCCAGTTTTTTTTAAATATTATGATTGAGAGTGTTGTATTTTTTTTCCTTTCTCTGTTTACTCTTTAATAAAAGGTTTTTTAATATTTAATTGCAAGGTGGTGCGGTTATTCGGTAATATTAATTTTATTTTGTTTTGAATTTTTTTTCTTTTAGTTTTTTTGCAGATCATGTAATAATATTGATTTTTTGTTTTTATTTTTGTTTTTGGGAAAATTAAATGAGTATGATGAAAGTTGGAAAACTTCAGATTGTATAATTATAATATCAATGAATGTAGGTTTTATTTTTTTTGCAAAGAACGCTTTATTAAGGTATTGCAAAACTTTATCATAAAACAAAATCTGTTTAAAGTGTGGAATAATAAAAGCAAGTTTTACGTTATTTGGATCGTAAAAGAAATGAGGTTTAGTTATTTAACAATTTAGTTGATGAAATTTCAAGCAAAAGAATAATAAGAGAAAAATTTAATAACTGTGATTAATATTTATAAAATCTAGTTGACATACCAGAAGAGGAACAGCTTTAAGAAGTTTAAAAAGTCAATGGAATCGTAATGAAGCATTTCAAAAATCTTTTTAGGAACATTTTTGCATCAAATTTTCCTAATTATCTTTTATCTTTTAAAAGTATACCTTTATATTTAATCATTTTATTTTTGTTTCTATAATATGCTTAAACTCCCTGACCATAAATATTATCTAAAACCATTTCTTTAAATGGTTTTAGATAAGAAACCGACACTATTTTTTTGTGTTATTCAAATTCAAATATACGTACATTTGGATTCATGTCAAATATGTATGTATATTTTTTTCTTAAAAACTGTTATTGAAATTTGTTTTAAATGTCAATCTAAATATAAGCCATTTTGGTTGGGTATACATAATGTGATTCCAATACTTTGCTTATTGAAATATGAAATATAACTGAAAAAAAATGAATAAATAAAATAACTGTTGTTTTGGAGTACTTCTTATACAATTTAAAATGTTGGATTGTACATCATGAAGGTTAATAAAAAATATCATTGGCAAATAAGAGTTGATTAGATATTTTAATGCTATTCAGTATAAGAGCTTTTCTTTATAATAACAATATAACTTGTAAGATGCGTTGCACTGTAATTTCCATATTTTTAATCGTTTTAAATTTCAAAAGTAGTTAGGAAATAGAGAGCGTTGTGTTGTAATACAAAAAGTCATAACTGAAGTATTCGAGAGTTTTCTACAAACCAAAAAGTCAAATACAGATCTGGTAACTTAAATCTCTTTTAAAATATCCATTGGAAAAAGTTGAATAATTAAAATTTATATCTTATTGTTTTTCATTGAAATAAAAGTCATAATATAAAATCATATTATTTTTCTAATAACCCAAAGGGCTTTTGGCAATGAACAACATTTATTCATATTTTATTTCCATTTAAACTTTTGTACCTGTAAAAAATACCGTCCTATCTGAAAACTATATGAATTCGAATGAATTCAGTTTAAAGTTCAATTTCCATTAAAAATTTTATGAAACTATTAAAATTTAATAATAAAATTATCCTATAGTTGTGTTGTATGTTTTTTTTCTCAATTTTTGGTTTTGTTTTTCGCTATTATATGTTTATGTATTTATATTTGTTTATATGTATATTTCGTATACAGTAGTTAAGAGTAGAGTATATTGTTTATATAGTGAGTACTTAAAGTCTTTTACAATTTTGTACTTGTATATTATAGCTGTTTTTTTTTATAAATTTTGCAAATATACATTGCACTGATGGTTAGCTGATCTGCATGTCGCGGT